AAAAACGTGTAAATTACCGTATGCTTGACTGGAAACATTACAAAAACACTGTCAAAAGCAATGTTTTGGAAGGATTTACTGCCTTTATGGCAAAAAACGTGTAAAAAACACTGTCAAAAACAATGTTTTCGAAGGATTTCTTATATATATATATATGTTGGAGTTGGCTACCGGCATTGGAACATGGAAAAATTGAAGAAAACACTGTAAATAGCGGTATTTTCAACGGTTGGGGAGATAAGGGAATTGGAAGCATTGTCGAACATGATGTTTTCGACCGGTTTTATGGCGACAAAAGTGTAAAGTACCGTGCTTTGAAGGAAACCATTGCTTTGAAGGAAACCATTGCAAAAACATGGAAACACATTCAAAGAACACGGGATTTGGGGGACTATCTAGGCGTCGTTGTCTAGCTATTTGAAATTCCGCAGGAGGGAAAAGTGAAAATTCCATAGCTTGGGAAGTTGTCACGGGGGGAAAAGTGAAAATTCCCTAGCTTGGGAAGCCCCCACGGGGGGGGAAAAGTGAAAATTCCCTAGCTTGGGGAGCCTTCACGGGGGGGAAAAGTGAAAATTCCCTAGCTTGGGGAGCCCCCACGGGGGGGAAAAGTGAAAATTCCCTAGCTTGGGGAGCCCCCACGGGGGGGGAAAAGTGAAAATTCCCTAGCTTGGGGAGCCTTCACGGGGGGAAAAGTTAAAATTCCCTAGCTTGGGGAGCCCCCACGGGGGAAAACCACCCTTAGCCCCTCTCACGGACCGAAATAAAGCTGCGGTGTGGGCGGCCACCCCACGCGAAGCGGGGTGAATAATCCCTCCGAAGCGGACGTTCGCCCAAAGTTTGATTTGGAGCTTAAACCCTACAGTATAGGGTCTATTTATGTCTATTTTGGATTATTTTGGGTTATCTTAGGATTACTTTGCGGTTTGTTTTCGGTTTGTTTCAAGGTTCTTCGGGTTGTTTTGGGTTTGTTCAGGGTGGGTTCAAGGTTTTTTAGGCTTTATTTGGCAGTGTTTTCAAGGCTCATTGATAAATGGTTGTTCTGATTAGATTGGTTTAGCGGTTATTTGGCTTGGTTCAGTTTCAGGGTTAATTATTTCGGCCTTATTTGAGGGTTGGAAAGTTTAAAGATTTTGGGGTTGGCTTGGGGATATTCAGGGTTGGTTTAGGCTTTGTTAGGGTTTGGGGCCTATTTCGGGTTGGTTCAGGGTTTAGTTCAAGCTTCATTCAGGGTTATATAGCTTTGAATTACTTAATTTATCTTAATTCACTTAGGTTGGTTTGAGCTTGCTTGTTTCATTTGTTTCTGTAGGTTTGATTCAGTGTTTGAAGAGTTGCTTAGGGCACCGTTTGATGCTCTTAAGTCTTAGCCTGAGGCTCCATGGAGCACACATGTTCTGTTGGCTTCGCTTTCTTCCTGTTTGCTGTGTGATGTTGGATTTCGTATCCCGGAATGTTTCGTTCTTGATTGTTTGCTTAATTCGTCTTAATTAAATGATGCTTGCAGGATATTGAAGGTTGAATCTTTGGTGTGATTGGTATTTGCAGCATTTCGGACGACAATTCCTGCTCTTGTTCTTGTTATTATTCGTCCTAATGTTTTACTTGTTGTCTGCATACTATTTGCAGCATGTTGCCAAGAAACCACCAAACACAAAAGGCAAAGACGCCAAAAGCAACAAAAGCCGAAAACGGTGAGCCAAAAGTCACAAAAGCAACATCAAAGAACCGAGCTCTGCCTATGGAAGTCCAAGAAAAACTGCCAGGAAAGTGATGGAAATTGGCTGTTTGACACACATCTGCTTTGTACTGCTACGCCTGCAAATAGGTATCCACAATCTCATCATGGCTTACCATCTTTTTTCACATTCAAGTTGCCATTTGGGGATGTACCCCATTTTCAGAGCTCCCGGCACAATTGTTCCGCGCTTGTTGCTGACCTGAAGAAACTGTCAGCTCCAGACTGCAACAAATTGGGGAAGGTTGGTACCCAAAACCAACTAGATTAACTGGATCGTTGAATCGAGGGGGGTGATGACATTACCAATGAAGATGTCAACAAGAACATGTTTGATTGAAGGGCACACGTTGGAATTTTGCTCCCACACATATCCAAAACATGTAAAACATGCGAAGATACGCCCAAAATGGCTCTGATTGATACTAAACACAGTGGCCAAGTGACGCTTTTTCCGTGGGTCATGTTGACCGAATCCTCATCGGCCACGCCTTCACAGGGTCGTCCCTGATGTTGTCCAACTTGGCTTGCGGTTTGGCAGGCAGTCCAAACCTGGGCAGAAGGGTCAAACTTTAGACCCACATCACTTTAAATGGATGGGTAACTTTTAGTTCTACAGTAAACCATACTAAACCCATCTCAGGCCAAACACACCATTGTTGGACAAAGATGGATAAAGGATGATAAAGGCATTTTTTTGGGAATGCGTCCTTGCTATCCAACTTTTTGACATATTCCCAAACAGTGGCAAACAGTCAAGGACGTGGAATAGTCATGAAACATATCGAAACACATTGAAACAACATAACAGTCCTTGCTACACCCCCAAAACTGGTGGAACAACAGTCAACTTTACGTCCAATTTGGCATCAACAAATGCGAATGTGCCATCTTCAAGATAATCCCTTTGCACTCGTCTTCGATGCAGGTCAGGTGACAATTGCTAACTTTCATATTTTGACAAATACTGGTCACTGGTAGAATCACTTTTAAACCAACAAGGAGGTATCAAAGGATGGACAACTCAGGTCATTTCTATAGTCTATAGATGTCTATATAGTCTATAGATGTCTATAGTACTAAAGCATACTAAAGCGATCTCAAGCATCCTGTGACACATCCTTTTTCATTGGGGCGATATTCGAGCCATTCCCATGTCTGATCCGCGCCATCGCCAAAATTGAGTGAGGCTCCGACTGAGCCACAAATCCTGGAACCACTCGGAAAACACCTGCCTTGGAAGGGCCATGAAGAACCCAAGCCCCCAGTCTATGGCAGTCTATGGCAGTCTATGGCACTATGGGGTTTGATGCCTCCATGTGCAACTTTGGGACTCGGGGTTTCGGATGGCAATCTCTGGGCCCGGACATCATCGTACCAACCTTGCTCAATCAACCTGAGCGACTCCACGGTCAGTTTTAATGCCAAATCCTACGTGGCAAAGAGGATCCTTTTGGCTGTTCAAATCTGAGACTCTTGCTTCTTGAACTGCGCTGCACCGATAGGCGCCTTGTGCTTCCGGAACGACAGGACGATGTCGATGAGATCAATCAGATACTCAAAATATCTGAAAATATATCAAAATATATCAACATCATTTCCAAATATCTAAACCTTCAACAATCATCATGTCCAGCATCTGTTGTTTCAGGCCACTTCATTGCGCAAAAACTTAGCCATCGACCCACTCAGGGTGCACTCGAATCTTGATGGAGGCCTGCCGGTCAAGAAACATCAAGAAACTGCTGGAATTCGCAGCCATAGAAAGCTCCAGCCACGTCACTCGCCTGCGATGGCGAATCGCCTCCAAGATTGATGTCCATGACCTGCAAAACAAGGGAAAATCAATGAACGTGAGGTTTTAACGAGGGTTCAATTAGACCTTTCCACATACAGCAAGGCATGAAGGGAATCCATGCATAGAATCAAACACATGCAGCATTCAACACCAGGTGCTGAGAAGCTGAGGGTCGCACAACATCAAAGTCGGCATCTGCTGCCTTCGCGCTGCCCGATTGCGAACTGCCAAGAGTTGCCACTGCTCCCAGGCTCATGAGGCGACGTCGGCCCTGCAGCTGGATGTTTCATGCAACGCATCTCAACACGAAGTGAAACAAGCAGCCACAAATCACCAAACCATACTGGAAGATGCGCAAATGCTGATAGTTCAGTTGTGAATCTATCTCGTTTGTATCTCGTTCCTCTCTCTTTCTATCTCTTGCTCGGTGCACTGCGCCTCCACCGTCTCAGACGCTTCCCTGGTGGTTTCAAGCTGAAATGACTCAGAAACTGCTGGCTGCTTGCGGCTGCAGCCAATATGCTAAGTGACTGGCAGGGTCGACGGGCTTGGCAAAAAGGTCGAATAGTATCTGGCAAGACATGGCATCTTGGAGAAAAAACTTGGCAGACAGAAGGTTGGCTAAATGGGGATTTAGCCCACTACAATGGGGATATTATGAGCGGTTGTTTTTAATGGGATATATCATATATATTATATATATAATATTCCCAGTCTTTCTTGTTTTTTTGAAATTTTATCTGCAAAGATCTCAATGCCAATCTGCCAGTTGAAAAGGTGCAGAATGAACCTCATGCTGCATCCCTCCAGTAACACCTGGCAATGGAAATTCCCCCAGTCATAGATAGTCTACCTATGTCTACCTATTATCCAAAAATTGAAGAGAACATATGATGGAACCCTACAGTCTTTGCTGGGTACATCTATGGTTTCACCCAGAGCCTTGTGGAGACCAGGCACACCTGACATCGAAACCACAGGCCTTTGATGTCATCATATCCATCACCTAATCTCCATTAATCTCCTAGGTATTCCTTTGAAAAACATCCAAATGAAACTGAAAATGAATGCAGTACCTGATTACATCTGATTACTGTGTCTCATAAACAATAGAACTTCAACTTGGATCTGGGAATTTAAGAAGCCGCACCACCAGCAGCGCGCATACGAGTGCATACGTTTGCCGCTGAGTGGACCTCGATCTCTGGCGACCGCATCCCAAACAGTCAGGCAGCACTGAAGCACTTCAGCCCTAAGGACATGACATGGTGCACCTCATCAACAAGAAATCTATGGAATTTATTGATTTGTTCTTGAGCCAAAACAACTCCTCTGAATCGGACCGAGATGGGAAGAACTGCAAAACATGACATGGCTAAATCGCCCATTCGAAGTGAAGAGATGTCTGCATCCTCTGCACTCCATCCAGCGAAGGCCGTTCATCAACAGCGGATCTGCCACACATTCTTTTGGCTCCGCCGACTTTTGAGGCTGGCCAGGTTGGGTTCATGTGGTGCTTGGATTGCTTGGGCTGGCCATGATCTGTTCTGTACATCTTCCGCGGAGACACTGTACACTCCACTGAGAACGCAAGCGCGCTGACCTGAGAAAGGTAGCGCGGTAGCCCTGACTGATGGTGGAATTCCCCTTCCTAATCAATACAAGACAATACAAGACATACAGACCTATCAGTGACCGATCCCCTAAAATATCCAAGACTCCCCTGAAACAGCCAGATTCTCGTTCCACCCAACATGCCTCTGCCATCTCAGATCACCTGGGCATGGGTCTGACTGCTTGTCTCTAAGAAGTATCTAGTTGGATATCTCAGATATCTATATAATTCTATATAATATATATATATATATATGTGTGTTCACATCATTTCATATCAAAATCTATTTCTTCACTATCTATGTTTGCTGTACCGATTCTGTTGGTTGAGAGTTGACAACGTACTGTGGTCCTGACTTTGAACAGGTTGCTGCCACAACCTTTGTGCATGGCGTCCAATTTCATGTGGGTCCAAATGCCGACATACAAAACCAACCATGCTAGGCTATAGAATCCATATCATTCCATAATATTCCATAGATAGCCAAAAGGCAATTGGACGCAGATGCCAAGATGTGCCACGTTTTTTTCAATACCTTAACAATCCTCAACATCTTCCGAACTTCCGAACTCTTCTGAATTTCTGACTCAAAACACCCTTTTACACGACATTTAACAGCACTATAGAACTCCTTGCAGCAACCACTGGGGCAGTGCACTGATAACACCAGCAGCGCCACGCAGCTCGGAAGACTGACCCAGATCCTGAGTGCGGCCAGGGACGCCATTTGGATGGTCTATGGATGTCTATGGCATTGGGTTTACCATGGGTTTACCACCAAAAAAAAGCCTGGTCCACCTTTTGAAGTCAAAGATGTCAAAGCAATTCACAGATCAACATGATCAATTCACCACATCCACTGGCAGATGATGCTCATGGTCAGAGTGATCTTTTTGCAGTCCCACGGCTTCTTTTGTCACACTGGCCTTATCAGCTGCCATGACACTTCCACGCGACCCAGGGCTGTCAGTACTGGTGTCACCTCCAAGAGTTGGGCGAAATCTCAACATCTGGCGAAGTCGGTCCACTGGCGATTGCCATCTTTTGGAAAGAAGATGAAAGAAACATAAGAACTTTGACGAACTTTGCATCTGTATCATCTGTCAAGGAAACTGCGCAAACACGCCGGGTAATGTTGCTGCGGTCCCTTGCTGAAACCGTAGTTATGCACAAGTCAAGCGTGCAAGGGTGCTTGCCTTTTTCACATATTTTCAACACAACTCAGCCAAGTCGATCGCGAACTGTCGTTGTCTTTCTCATCAGTACAAGTCATCCTTGTCCGCGCAGTACTTCGGCTTAGTAAGGGAAGCTTCCCCCATCTCTTCCACTGTGCCCTTCTTTTTGGCACCTCAAAAATGGTTTTGAATACCCACCAAAGGATAACATTGGGTAAAGTGAAAATGGATAATGGGCTGCAGTATGGTCAATAAATGTCTACTATTGGGTTTACCACATTGCACTTGACAGATTTCATGTTCTTTGTAACCACCTGCTTGACATCGCAATCTCAACTCTCAAGTGCAGGCTGTTGGATGTACACGACATCCGTGGACTTTAGCTCTCGCAGATGCTGGAGAAATGGTCTTAATTGCGTGTGGCTTAGTTGTTGAGCCACATGCTGCTGATGCCCCTCCAGCATTTCCGTGCATCCTGGTGTGCCAGACATACACGCCAACAACGAGTCTTCGTATTCCTCTGCATAGACCGCGCGTGAAATGGCCCGCTGCAATGGGCTGTGCATCAAGAACTCCACATTGTCCGCATCAACCTTCAGCGCCTTGGCTGTGAGGTTGCATTCTTCATCGCGATTTGTCGTGGTGCTGTCCAGCCAAATGGTGAAACAAAACCTGGCGGCCATCGCCGGGCGGACGGAGTGCAGCAAAAAATCACTTCGGAACAACACCGCACGGCCCAGAAGTGGAGCAATCACCACCTCAGGCTGTAGGAAAGGATGCAAAACAAGCTCTCCTCCATCACCGTCTTTCCAATCTGGATTCAAATACACCAAACAGGTGATCCTCCGTTTGCTAGGTCTTCCTGAGTTGTCATAATGGCAGGGAAAACAACCTCCTTTACCAGCATTGTGCTGCAGCTTCAGTGTCTTTGCCTTGGGGCCTTCTTCCAATTGCAGTTCTGGAAGCAAATCATTTAGCTGCTTGGCTAAACTATCATCAAAAAGCAAATCAGCAAATGCAGGAAGAAACTCGTGCAACTCTTCGTCATGAAGATCAGCTTCAAAGATATTTGGCTTCTCAAATGTGCCGGCACCAAACTGGAAGCGATGCTGAGTGAACTTTCCAGCGTTGAAAGCCTCGGCTGCCTCTGTTCTTAAAGATACAGCAACAGTTTCTGGGAGAAAACCTTCGATCACAACCCATCCTTGTCCCTGAAGCAGCTTTGCATGGTGTGGCTGTAAAGTTTCAGCAGGAATTGCCATGGCTGCTGGACCAGTAATACCTTGAGGGCCATAGGGCCATTAAGTCCACGTGCCTGCGGAGTTTTCCGCGTACATATGTGCTAAAAACTGAAGGATTTGCTGGGAGCTGCGAAGCTTTCAAGTATTGTGAAAAGAGGGCATTTCCAGTGAGACATCCAAACCAGCCAAACCAGCCACAGTTTTGTTCCACAATGCCGTCTGGGATCCGTGCGGCCATGCATAGCCGCAAAAGCCATCCTCGCAGCTAGTGAAGTCATACCTCGTGACAGAGGCCAGGTTCACCGAGCACAGCCAAAACACACTTTGGTGTGTCATTGGCCCATCCGGACCTCTCCCACCCCGAATCCTTTTCACTTGACATACGGCTAGCGACTGAAGCAACACCTGCATTGATAGACATTTGTTTCATTTTGCTGAAATTCTATACTTTGCTGATCACAAGAAAGGTTGCATGGGTGTGCTGGATAAAGCACAGCTAACAGCAATGGCGACGCCAGCTCTCTGAGATTTCTACACCACCCATACAGTGACATTCGCAAGAACCTCAGGCTCTTTGCATTTGCTTGGCTTGATCCAATATGCCAAAGGTTTGCAACACAACTTTGGGCTAGCTTTTGCTGCCCAAGGAGGTGTCCTGGGCGTCGTACAATGTTGCTGATGACCACTTGCAACCACCTGCAAAGCTGCAAGCGATGACTGAGTCTTCCTTCCGCGGGGAGAAGGCGATCTGGATTTCCAAAAAACGGTCCATTATGCAGAAGGCTTTACAACAAACTCCCGGAGGCTTTGCGAGTCAGGAGCTTTAGGAGATAGGTACTGGAGCACAACCCCTCTAACCTCCTACATTCCGAAACCACTACAGATTCTGAGTTCTGTATCTTGGCGCAGTGTGGAGCATCTTGTGAGATGCAAAAAACTCACCAGCGCTTTGTGCCTTGGACATTTCCTCGGACCTCGGAGCAGCTATTCAAGGACAAGGTGCCCACACATCCTGCGAAACTCAAGAATGAATCGAAGGAACAAGAACGGACCAAAAATGCGGTACAGAAAGCTCGAAAAAAGATGGAACATGCTCGCCTTACCACTATTTTAGTAGGATTTGATCTTTCTATCTTTTTTGGGCTTGGTATTGACATCTTCGGCCGTTTAAGATCCCTGGCGCGGTGACGTCCATGGGAGCACATTGATTGCGTGGGCTGCCACAGACAGCAGCGTGCCAAAAGTCACCTCAGATGTGCCAACTGCTACCGACAGGGCAAGAAAGGCAGCAAGCGGATCATGGTTGCATCATGTTGCGCATTTTCACAGGATACAACATGATACACCCAGAGACCCAAGCTCGAACCCAGAAAAATGGCCGTGCCAAACAGGAAAATCATATCTACCCTACCTAAACTACCCCCCCTCAAAATAATTTCAAAAATTATTTTGAGGGGGTTGATAGTGTCTTCGGTTGTTATACGAAACAACCCTCTTTAGGGCTTTAGGGCAAAATAATTTCTTACGATAGACCCCTCCTCCCTTTCATCGACGGTGGTGAACCTTCGTAAAAATTATTTCAACCCCTGGGGAGTTAATTATTTTGCCCCCCTCCGGGGACTCCAATCTTTACATATGTATACTTTGGGACCCCCCCTACCCGACATGATCGCCTTCGCAGGTGTACCGGGGAAATTCCATCCCTTCAAGAAAAACGCGGGGATATCAACCAGGTTTTGGAATATGTTTAAAGAAAACATGTTCTTTAATGATTTTCCTAAGCAGTGGGCCTACGGATGTGCATATTGGAATATGCGAGTTATAATCTAAGCCTTCAATATACCCTCAAATGCGAGCTCCAGATCTCAGTGGGCACTGCCGGACCTCAACCGCGAGCGCCAGATCTCAGTGGGCACTGCCACTCCCCTATCAAATGGGGGGGGCCGTCCCAGCTAGTCAGGGCTTTCGCGGATCTTTCGCGGAGCTTTCGCGAAGCTTTCGCGGATTTCGGGTCACATCTATCGAAATTTGTGAATAATGTATCAGTATGGATCCAGATACATCTGAGGAAGCTGTCTACAAACATACTTACAACCAGGATTTTGAGTCTTGAAAGTCTCTTTCGCGAGCTTTCGCGGAAGGAAATCTTCGCAAAAGCTTTCGCGGATCTTTCGCGAACGTGGTTTTAGCTTTCGCGGAGCCATCTTACTTTACACGCCCTTTAAATCTCCACTTGGAGGTTTTGGCGGCTGCTCATATAAATTTTAATTTTAAATGGTTGAACAAAAAAGATAAAAAAATCCCCTTAGGGGATTCCCGCAAAATGATGTTCAACCATCATCTTCATCACTGGCTCTTTCCTACATACTTCCCCACATTTCTCTCACATTCCCTTCATTTCCTTCCAAAGAACACTCGGTGGGAATGAGTGTGAAAGGGAAAACATTCGGTGTTTATAGTTTTTTTTCAGCTGGCAGCTGCTCACTTTGATTTTTGATGAGTGCAGGGTATCTCCAATACCCCTAGAATAATTTCTCCCCTTGGGAAATCCCACGGAATGGTATTCAACCTGGCCTTTTCCTGTAGTGATTTTCCTAACCTGTCATATTTCCTCTTATTCCTCCCATATTCCCTTGATTTCCCTCCAAAAGTTACAACACTGCCATCACTGCGAAGAAGTACTGTGTGAACACAGCCTGCAGAAACTTGAGTGTACGACATTCCTTCATCCAAAGGTGGAATATGCCATCGGATCAAAACAAGGTCAAACACCAAAATTATTTTTGAAATATTTTTTTTTGCTGTGAGAGTGTTTTCGTCAAAATTATTTTGAGGGGGGGTAACCCATCAAAATAATTTCTAACCAGAAATTATTTTGATGGTTAGAGTCTATAAATCTATACATCCAACATGTTAGATTTTCGAAATTATTTTCAAAGAAATATTTTGGATGGTAACCCCCCCTGAAATAATTTCATTAAGGTAGGAGGGATAAAATCATCTTCCATACATTTCCAAATCCATGCTTTGGGTTGGGTGTTGGTTGCAGGGGCGTGGTTTCCATCCACAATAGATGGAGTTGCTAATATATTGCCTCACGCAGCTGAGTTCTGAACCCACTTGGGCCATGGATATGCATCTCGGGACACAGCGAAGTAGATGGTCCACACAATCCTTGGGAACAGCATCCAGAGGGCAAAAAAAAACAACGGAATTTCACAGGGCGAGATCCTGGGAAGCAAGGGTTGGAGGTCTCTAATATAATATGTCTTAAACAAATGAGGGAGATCGGGGAGAGGGCCTTGATTCATCTTGACTCCATGAAATGCCGACCGAGGAAGGCTTGCCTTCCTCGAGTTCACGACGAAAACCCAGAGGACCCATGAGGACCCCACACGTTGACAATGGCGATGGCAGAAAGATGCGTACACAACGCTTTCGCAACACCTTCATTGCTCAAAAGCATGCTGCCCTACCTGGAACATTTTGGCAATTACACAAATCCTTTCCAGTGGGCTAAAGTTAATCCACTGACCACCCAAAACCAAGGTTTACCCAGAATTTCCAGAATTGCGAGTTTGGTCAAGAAATGGGGGCATACCCAAGTTTATGCAAATGTTGATAGGGAAAGTATGGGAAAGTGATGATCAACCGTTGGTTTTAGCGCACTGTACCCCATCCTTAAGCTTTCTTCCTCAGTTCTCAAAGCTGAGCTTGGCACAGCTTCTGTGGGAGAGCATCTGTCAAGGCAAGGGGTCATTCCACATCACCCACATCCGCTAGAATCGGTCGATGATCTTTTAAAAATCATTTATCCCGATATCCATGGATACAAACTGGGCTTCAAATCAAGTGCTAGTTCAATGAACCCTAAAGATTTTTTGGCCTAAATTTCCAGTACATGGATGGCATCTAATCCAAATAATCCCAATATCCTAAAACATCCTCAAACCACTTACCGACTGAACGCTTCCCAGGTTGCATCCAGTCCAAGTCTCATCGTCCCATCGTCCCAGCAACCCGTCGCCTGTTGGTTGGCCAAAGCATTCGGCAACGCGGCAATCAGCGAAGCTTCAAGCCTTGCCACGGCAAAGAATGGCAGAAATTTGACCAACAGGAGGGATAAAATGGGATGAACCATGATAAACCCATGGATTTTCTTTGGATCAATGATGATCAATGACCCATGTCGATCCCATCCAGAGTTGAAGTCCCAAAGATCCCAAAGATCTGGAACCATGCATCAACCTCCCATAATGCTCTCATCCACACCGGCTGAGTGGCAGCCGTTGGCCATCGACATGTTCCGCAGCCGGCTCTGCTTGTGGAGCGGGGGGAGCCTTGGAAAACAGGGCTCCAAGAGCGGCGGTGCAATGGGAGTCTTACTGTAAACACGGAAGCAAAAGAAGAGAATCTCCTTCATTCTTCGCCAATCGAGAGCCTTGTTTTTTGTTGATACGTTTGATGAATAGAATGCCCAGAAAAACATTGTGATCTTGGGCCGTCGTCATAGATTTCCAAGAATTTGGGCATTCCACAGGTCTGCAAAGTGTCTCCGGTGTTGTCCCTAAGAATAGCTCGCTAGCCGGTGCCACGTCGTAGCCATACAGGGCTTGTTGTGGTAGAGGTTGCGGTGTTTGCGCCATTGCGATCAGATGCGATCAGCTATTGGCAGCAAACAATTTTTTGGAGGACAACCTAGTCTGGGTCCCCAACTTGTTTTGGCAGCTGGCTGATCAAGAATCTATGAGTATTAGTCGAATTCAATTGATATATATATATATTTAATATTATATAATTGTATACAATGATATCATGTGTTGGGTACTGCAGCTCCTCCAGCGGTCTGTCACCAGTGCTCGAGCCGCCGTGGCGGTTCCGTCGAGCCGTCCGGGGGGAAGATTTGGGGCGTGAAGTGCCACCACATTTGCAGCTTGCAGTTGTTTGGAATGGTCAATTTTTGTCTTGGGATATATATATATATACAGTGTTCCCGAATAGAATTGAAAATGTCAAACAAAAGCAGGCAACTGCAGCAGCACATCATCTTTTGCTATGCAGTTGGCCTGTGCGGCTGGGTTTCTGTCTGATGCCAAATGCATCAAGTTCCATACATCAGGTTTCCCAATGAAACCACAAAAGAAAGAAGTGGTGGTGTCACGCAGATTTTCCACCCAACCCGCCGGAGTCAAAAGCTCGTGCGAGAGGAGTCCAAAAACGGGTGTAGGCGTGAGAACCACCACTACGGAAGAAAGTCAGCCGCGACCACCTGGCTCCAGTGGACCTTAGGTGGCCTATGAGTCGGTGTTACGACGTTTGAAACAAAAAAAATGGGAAAAAGCCTCGCTCACTGGTAGCTGCCGGTCGGGTCGGGACATACAGAAGAAGGTGAGGCTAGCTCAGAAGATCCAAGCCAGGTACACCATCAAAGATTCCAATGCTGGCAGCGGGCATCACCCGTTCCGCTCACGCCCCCGAGCGCTGAGCACCGAAACGAAATATGTCTGCAACAATCGAATGTGTTGTCGCCTGAAGCCGGATGGGAGTGGAGAAGGGATCAAACCACAAGAACGGATGCAAGGGGGAGCTCATTAGGCAACGAAAAATGAATCACAGGATTGGGTTTTAAAGATACCCAAGCTCGTCGCAGGCGATCAAAGGCCATATTATTGGCACTACAATCCCAAAGCAAATGATTGACCGACTCAACGTCGTTGCCGCATCGGAGGCATTGCGGAGAATGAACTTTCTTGGCATGATGTAAGCGGTCTTTGGACCAAAGAGCGTTGGCAACAAAACGCTGATAATGGGGCACCGTCGGTCCCCTCATTACCGCACCAGGGTGACCTATACTGAGACATGGCCCGGATGGGCTCAAGGGTCAAGCCACGATCCACTCCAGATTCACAACCTTCTAAGATGGGAAATTCAGCACAGTGATTATGCCACCACCACAAACGGAAACCATCACGCAACTGATGCTTACAAGCAGCTCCTTTATCACCAGGAGTCACAAGAGAAGTCAAAGAGATGGGCTCAAGATGAGCAAACTGGATCGAGTCAGGTTCAGGACACTGGCACCCAATGGTTTGGAGACAACGATGAACTTGGCGAGCGAAGCCAACAGATTTCTGCCATGGAAGGTGCCGTCGGTCCCAGGTGTGGTGAGCCAGCAGGGGGCATTTCTGGCGAAGCCTGGCCAGAGCAAGAAAACAGTAGTAGCACATGAAAACTATTGGGGAAAGCAAATGCAAAGGGCCTAAAACGCCTAAAGTCACTGCAACACTACGCATGTAATTGTGCAAATGTCGAGTGGGCCCCCACCATGCTTGAACCACCGCGGTGGTCACCTTGTTCAGCTGACGAAATGGAATGAGGCAGGCATCGAAGTACAAACCCTGCAGGAAAGCATTTTTTGACGCAGAAGGCTCGAAGGCAAAAACCGGACACGTTCAAGTTGTCGATGCACCTGGAATGCTCTGTTTGATCCACTGTGCATGGGTAGGTAGGTCTGGGTTTCCAAAACAGCTCCTAAATATTTAAGTTGAACCTTTAAGGGAAGTTGGAACCAAGAGCCTGCATGGCGAGCCGCAGGCAGAGAACCTACATAAAACCGAGAAGACTTCTCAACGTTAGTGGCAAACCCAAAAGACCAATCAAAGTGAAAGGTGGCATGCAAAGCATCGGACAACTCATTGATAAGAGGATGCAAAATACACCGATCGTCCACGAAAACACGAAGAGTGTGCAAAGGCGGTAATGTGCGTATGCAACAACTCATGACTAAGTTCTAGCACCAAGGGGCTAAAGGATCCTGGCCTGAAAGAGTTCTTTCGCGGAGTTCAGAGATAAAGAATCGAAACACTTTGCGATGTCAAGAAAGGCACCGGCCAAAAACCGAGAGTTACTATGAAAGTTGCTGATAGCAGTCAAAATCTCATTTGCCGTGCCTGCTGCACGATGCCCGGAAGGCCGGCCACCGACAAGTTGAGAAGGAAACCAACTGGTCCAAGTAGCCAAGTTTTGCGCAGTTCTTTTTCCCCAAATTCTGTAGGCCGCAGAAAGGATTGTTATCGGATGAATGCCTCCATCAGGCTTTTGAATGCACACGAGGCGAGCACTGGTCCAGCAGCTGGGAAAAGCCAAACCAGCATCGAAGGCATCATATAGTTGACAGAGTAAATTCAAAATGTCATCACTAAGAGCAGCGAAGGCATCAAAAGGCAGGCCGTCCAAACCTGCGGCACTGGTATTGCAAAATTGACGGATCATGGCAGGAGTCCATGGCACAGGATCTGTCCAAGGACACAGCTCACATGCCTGCATTTTCCTACAAAGGATGGCAGCGCTATTTTGACGTTGATTCTCGTCTGGTGGCTGGGTCCACCGAGGAAGCCATTCATTGAGAATGGCCAAGCCCTGTTCTGTGATTGTGCGGGGATCTGATGTAAGGACGGCCGGTTGGGCCAGCCCGTCACGGATCCAGGAAGCATCATTCTTTGTGTTGTTCATAGACTCCTTCCAATGCCGAAGGGCCTCTTTTCGACCCTGGGCAATTTCCCGATTTATAACCGTGTGAAATCTGTGTCGGTCCAACCCTGTCGATGAGCATGTGCAAGGATGCGTCTCTGTGCTTTCATTAAACGTAAAATATTCACGATCTTTAGCCTTACCTTTGATAACACGGGGCGATGCAAGTTTATAGGGAGAAGGGGAACTATCAAGCCAGAATGCCAATTGAACCCAAGCAGCCCAAGCATCATCGCTGGACTGTGCTTTCAAGGCTGCTCGGAAACGTTGTTCAAGACAAGGGGATGCTTGATGCTGCAAATTCAAATGAGGCTTGTGCCAAATCAACCTGTTGCAATCCTGCAAACCGTCAGCCAGTGAGAGAACCACCGGGCAGTGCTGAGTGCGGGACCAGTCATGTAGGCCGGTGACATTGGCCTTAGGGCAGCAAACTCGTGGAAAGCGCAAAACCATCAAGGGTGTTACCCCAGTCATAATGGACTGAGTGGCGCCAGGAACCCTGGAAGGGAATGAGGAAGGTGGCAGGAGTGGGGCTGTCTTCAGCAAGATTATGATTCCAATCGCCGCCAGCAATCCATTCCCCAGGCCGGCTGGACCATTTCTGCAGGTGATGAAAAAAGGCACTTTGATCATCGACAGCATGATTACTGGTTGGTGAATAAATGTTGCCAATGCGAATCAAGTTGCCACCTGAAGTTTTAACAGCGATACTCAGAATTGGGTCACAGTCAGGAAGGACGCCAACAGAGAGATCCCGATGGACCAAGATAGCTTCGCCCCCCATAATGGCGAGGGAAGCCCCAAAACGTTTGCCAACCTTCCTGGAGCATGCCCCGAGAGAATGTTTTCCGGGCCGCAAGTGGGACTTTATGTTCTTGGACTAGAGCAATTGAAATCTGGTGATGGTCTAACGTGAGAACCACCACTACGGAAGAAAGTCAGCCGCGACCACCTGGCTCCAGTGGACCTTAGGTGGCCTATGAGTCGGTGTTACGACGTTTGAAAAAAAATTGGGAAAAAGCCTCGCTCACTGGTAGCTGCCGGTCGGGTCGAGAAATACAGAAGAAGGTGAGGCTAGCTCAGAAGATCCAAGCTAGGTACACCATCAAAGATTCCAATGCTGGCAGCGGGCATCACCCGTTCCGCTCACGCCCCCGAGCGCTGAGCACCGAAACGAAATATGTCTGCAACAATCGAATGTGTTGTCGCCTGAAGCCGGATGGGAGTGGAGAAGGGATCAAACCACAAGAACGGATGCAAGGGGGATCTCATTAGGCAACGAAAAATGAGTCACAGGATTGGGTTTTAAAGATACCCAAGCTCGTCGCAGGCGATCAAAGGCCATACTATTGGCACTACAATCCCAAAGCAAATGATTGACCGACTCAACGTCGTTGCCGCATCGGAGGCATTGCGGAGAATGAACTTTCTTGGCATGATGTAAGCGGTCTTTGGACCAAAGAGCGTTGGCAACAAAACGCTGATAACGGGCACCATCGGTCCGATCATTACCGCACCAGGGTGACCTATGCTGAGACATGGCCCGGATGGGCTCAAGGGTCAAGCCACGATCCACTCCAGATTCACAACCTTCTAAGATGGGAAATTCAGCACAGTGATTATGCCACCACCACAAACGGAAACCATCACGCAACTGATGCTTACAAGCAGCTCCTTTATCACCAGGAGTCACAAGAGAAGTCAAAGAGATGGGCTCAAGATGAGCAAACTGGATCGAGTCAGGTTCAGGCCACTGGCACCCAATGGTTTGGAGGCAACGATGAACTCGGCGAGCGAAGCCAACAGATTTCTGCCATGGAAGGTGCCGTCGGTCCCAGATGTGTGAGCCACAGCAGGGGGCATTTCTGGCGAAGCCTGGCCAGAGCAAGAAAACAGTAGTAGCACATGAAAACTATTGGGGAAAGCAAATGCAAAGGGCCTAAAACGCCTAAAATCATTGCAACACTACGCATGTAATTGTGCAAATGTCGAGTGGGCCCCCACCATGCTTGAACCACCGCGGTGGTCACCTTGTTCAGCTGACGAAATGGAATGAGGCAGGCATCGAAGTACAAACCCTGCAGGAAAGCATTTTTTGACGCAGAAGGCTCGAAGGCAAAAACCGGACACGTTCAAGTTGTCGATGCACCTGGAATGCTCTGTTTGATCCACTGTGCATGGGTAGGTAGGTCTGGGTTTCCAAAACAGCTCCTAACTATTTAAGTTGAACCTTTAAGGGAAGTTGGAACCAAGAGCCTGCATGGCGAGCCGCAGGCAGAGAACCTACATAAAACCGAGAAGACTTCTCAACGTTAGTGGCAAACCCAAAAGACCAATCAAAGTGAAAGGTGGCATGCAAAGCATCGGACAACTCATTGATAACAGGATGCAAAATACACCGATCGTCCAGGAAAACACGAAGAGTGTGCAAAGGCTGTAATGTGCGTATCCAACAACTCATGACTAAGTTCTAGCACCAAGGGGCTAAAGGATCCCCTTGGGGATGCTGAGCAGTGATGACCACTTCAGTGGCTTCCGTTCGAAGCAAACATGCCGTGGAACATTTCTCCAAAGTTGCAAAACTTGAAAAAGAAAATAAGGGGCCCCAATGGCCTGAAAGAGTTCTTTCGCGGAGTTCAGAGATAAAGAATCGAAACACTTTGCGATGTCAAGAAGGGCACCGGCCAAAAACCGAGAGTGACTATGAAAGTTGCTGATAGCAGTCGAAATCTCATTTGCCGTGCCTGCTGCACGATGCCCGGAAGGCCGGCCACCGACAAGTTGAGAAGGAAACCAACTGGTCCAAGTAGCCAAGTTTTGCGCAGTTCTTTTTCCCCAAATTCTGTAGGCCGCAGAAAGGATTGTTATCGGAAGAGTGCCTCCATCAGGCTTCTGAATGCACACGAGGCGAGCACTGGTCCAGCAGCTGGGAAAAGCCAAACCAGCATCGAAGGCATCATATAGTTGACAGAGTAAATTCAAAATGTCATCGCTAAGAGCAGCGAAGGCATCAAAAGGCAGGCCGTCCAAACCTGCGGCACTGGTATTGCAAAATTGACGGATCATGGCAGGAGTCCATGGCACAGGATCTGTCCAAGGACACAGCTCACATGTCTGCATTTGCCTACAAAGGATGGCAGCGCTATTTTGACGTTGATTCTCGTCTGTGGCTGGGTCCACCGAGGAAGCCATTCATTGAGAATGGCCAAGCCCTGTTCTGTGATTGTGCGGGGATCTGATGTAAGGACGGCCGGTTGGGCCAGCCCGTCACGGATCCAGGAAGCATCATTCTTTGTGTTGTTCATAGACTCCTTCCAATGCCGAAGGGCCTCTTTTCGACCCTGGGCAATTTCCCGATTTATAACCGTGTGAAATCTGTGTCGGTCCAACCCTGTCGATGAGCATGTGCAAGGATGCGTCTCTGTGCTTTCATTAAACGTAAAATATTCACGATCTTTAGGCTTACCTTTGATAACACGGGGCGATGCAAGTTTATAGGGAGAAGGGGAACTATCAAGCCAGAATGCCAATTGAACCCAAGCAGCCCAAGCATCATCGCTGGACTGTGCTTTCAAGGCTGCTCGGAAACGTTGTTCAAGACAAGGGGATGCTTGATGCTGCAAATTCAAATGAGGCTTGTGCCAAATCAACCTGTTGCAATCCTGCAAACCGTCAGCCAGTGAGAGAACCACCGGGCAGTACTGAGTGCGGGACCAATCATGTAGGCCTTATTATGACCCTGGAAGCGTTAACACTAGGGCGTTTTGGGTCACGGTTGCTGTGCAAAGTGCATGGCCAGTGCCTGTGTCAAATCCTGGCCCTATCTCCTTGCCACAAAATGTGTGGCAACATGTCCGCGTGGGTCCGCGTCCGTGTGGGTGCGCATGGGTCCGCGGGATGTGGGTCGGGTTCCGCGTCAGTGCCGGGCCTCTGCCCCCACAGGGTCAATTTGCGCATCAGTGTTTGAATCGGTGCAGGCTGTGGCGTGTGCTGGTGCAGTTTCTGTCAACGCTCTGGCATCTGCACGAGACGACTTGCAGAAAATTACAAAAAAATGAATTCACATCACCTTCTATGTAGTAGTATGTGCACAACTCACATATATGATATGTATGCACCAAAAAGTGATATTGCGCCACCCTCTACGCACTGACGCGGACCCATGCGGAGAGGTTTTTGGACCCAGATATGGGTCAGATATGTTAACGCTTGTAGGGGTATATCGTTACTGTGGGCCAGTGACATTGGCCTTAGGGCAGCAAACTCGTGGAAAGCGCAAAACCATCAAGGGTGTTACCCCAGTCATAATGGACTGAGTGGCGCCAGGAACCCTGGGAGGGAATGAGGAAGGTGGCAGGAGTGGGGCTGTCTTCAGCAAGATTATGATTCCAATCGCCGCCAGCAATCCATATGAAAAAAGGCACTTTGATCATCGACAGCATGATTACTGGTTGGTGAATAAATGTTGCCAATGCGAATCAAGTTGCCACCTGAAGTTTTAACAGCGATACTCAAAATTGGGTCACAGTCAGGAAGGACGCCAACAGAGATATCCCGATGGACCAAGATAGCTTCGCCATACCCACACTGGCGAGGGGAGCCCCAAAACGTTTGCCAACCTTCCTGGAGCATGCCCCGAGAGAATTTTTCCCGGGCCGCAAGTGGGACTTTATGTTCTTGGACTAGAGCAATTGAAATCTGGTGATGGTCTAATGTCTCCAAAAGTTCATTCCGGTGCAATTGAAGAGAACCAATGTTCTAGGACAAAAGGTTAAAAGGACCAGGATTCTGAGCTTCTCCTAATCGAAGAGAGGTCCAGATGATCCACGTGCAAAGGCGCAAGCACCGTCACTCAGTGGTTTTGCGAAGGCGTTTGTGCGCGGCAATGTTGGCAGCTCTCATTGTGGTGATAGAATCTTTATACATGTTCACGGCTTTTCGCTTAGCTTTGTGACCTGAGATCGGAATGTTTTCTGGCTTTGGCGCGCCTTTTTCCGAAAAGCAACGGACCATTGTACACGCTCATTGTATCCAACGGAAGGGCCTTGGCTTTTGGGACAGACTGCATGTAACATCAGATATGGAGAGGCCATGGCGCCGCAGTCGGAGCACTTCCAGAGTCCGCCGGCTCCGTGGACAACGAGGTCCTCACTTAGCTTGTGGCCCCAGGTAGGAGCTTCTTTGCGCGCCAACTGGAGCAAGCGGGCAGCAATTTGAGTTTGCGTTTCCCGCATTTCAGTCGAGGCAGTGCCCACTGAGATCTGGAGCTCGCGGTTGAGGTCTGGCAGTGGCCAGTGAGATCTGGAGCTCGCGATTGAGGTCTGGCAGTGCCCACTGAGATCTGGAGCTCGCAGTTGAGGTCTGGCAGTGCATGATGAACTGATGAAAAGTGATGAACCATTATATTATGGATCTTAGGGTGTTCCCACAAGTTCCCCATAATTTTCAAACGCAGGTCATGGAGATAGCACTGCGCCGCACACTTTTGAATCCGCCCTTAGGAGATGCGTCCCGCGTGGCACAGGGCGCTTCAGTTCTCGTCGGACGAACCCTCATCGCACCTAAGCAACCGGTGGTCATGGAGGGATGAGAAGCAAAGGAAATCAAGAAGATATGGAACCCAAATGGACCAAATATATCCACGATGCATTGGTATTTTCACTATCCAAAATTGGAGTTACATGTAATATCAATATCACAATTCCGGACAAATCTATATGTCGCGATTCTGTTGCAATTTGCTTCTTCCAATTCGCGTGACATCTTTGTCCTTGCTAGTGTCCTGGTGACATTGGCGTTTGCAAGCGTTTGTTTATTAGCTGAAAGTCAATGATATCTCTCTACCCACTCTGAATGTGGTTGGCCGGGAATACCAGCCTTACTCTTCCAGGAGCCCTGCAACAACTCTGCGAAACATCTTTAGCATGCTTGAGCGATGGGCCATGCTCTTAATTATAAATGAAAATGAAAATGCTGTGGATTGATTGAAATATATTGAAATCACTAGAGTCATCTATGGGTGAAATAATCCAGCTATATTAAGCTATATCCAGCTTATAATTGGGAGAAGGGCCCATCATTATAGGCTGCCCTGCGATTGAAATTCGTCTTGAGCTGGCTCTCCGCCAGCAATCTCGAAGCTCTGCAGGCTCATCTCATCCAATTGGCAAGATCGAGACCTGGCTTGGCCGAAAACAACCAATGGTTCCAAGGGGGGCAACACAGGGGCCAACAAAATGTACTGGAGAAAAATGGGGAAAGCCATTGTCACAAGAAAACACATATGATTCGCATTGAATAACATAGACCCGGGCAAGCCGGCGGCGGAAGTTTCCCAAACATAAATGACCTATAGTTCAAAGGCGCCCTGTCCCGACCGTGTCCTTCCCTCGACAACCGTTTGATTTTTTCAGCGAGAGACGAAGCAAAGTCTTCACACTCCACACTTCACACTGCACTCTTCGCACTCCGAACTTGAAACTTCACACTCCACACTTCACACTTCACACTTCGCACTTCACACTTCACACTTCTCACTTCCCACTGCTTCCTTCACACTCCAAACCTCACACTTCACACTGCGCGCTTCGCACTCCAAACCTCGACAACCGTTTGATTTTTTCAGCGAGAGACGAAGCAAAGTCTTCACACTCCACACTTCACACTGCACTCTTCGCACTCCGAACTTGAAACTTCACACTCCACACTTCACACTTCACACTTCGCACTTCCCACTGCTTCCTTCACACTCCAAACCTCACACTTCACACTGCGCGCTTCGCACTCCAAACTTAAACTTGACACTCCACACTTCACACTTCTCACTTCCCACTGCTTCCTTCACACTTCACACTTCACACTTCACACTTCCCCTGCTTCCTTCACACCCCAACGTCAGAGCAGAAAAAGTTGATTTTAAATAGAAAATGAAAGCAGCCAAAATCTGAAAGATCCTTTTTTTGTCACATGTATGCAATACGATCATGGTTTCTTGTGTGGTTCGTAACAACGCACACAGAAACGAAAATGAAGTGACACAGGCATTCTGCCGTCTGCAACTCGAAGCAACCTTGACACAGCCATTACAATGCGATCTGCAGAGACAGAGTTGCAAAACACAATAGACCTACGCGCAACGGCGTCGGAAATTGTAGCTCCAAAACCGGATCTCGACGCCAGAGCGAAAAAAAGACGATTTTGAAGCACTTTTTAAAAGGATTTTTAGAAGGAAAATCATTAGCGCCAAAATGGAGAAAATCTGCTGACAAATCAGTGTGGCAGCCTTCATGCAGCCACTCCAATACGATTTACGAAGTCCAGCTGCAAAAGACAATAGTATTACGAATGCAGCCACAGCACGCAGCAACCTTGACGCAGCCATTACAATGCGATCTGCAGAGACTGAGTTGCAAAACACAATAGAACTACGCGCAACGGCGTCGGAAATTGTAGCTCCAAAACCGGATCTCGACGCCAGAGCAGAAAAAGTTGATTTTTGCATCGTTTTTTATAAAGAATTGAAATAGAAAATGAAAGCAGGCAAAATCTGAAAGAATCCAGGAACAATCCCTAGCAAAACACAATGGTATTACGTCCTCAGCTCGTCCACCGAAGCATGTGAAACCTTCTAGACATTGCGGGAACGATCCTACAGTTGCAAAGCACAATGGAATTCCATCGGCAACTCCTCCACCAGCACCACTTGCAATGCCATTTGCATTGCGGGAACGATCCTACAGTTGCAAATCACAATGGAATTCCATCTGCAACTCATCCACCAGCACCACTTGCAATCCCATTTACAGTGAGGGAACGATCCTAGAGTTGCAAATCACAATGGAATTCCATCAGCAACTCATCCACCAGCACCACTTGCAATCCCATCTACATTGCGGGAACGGTCCTACAGTTGCAAATCACAATGGAATTCTGTCGACAACAAATGCACGAAACACAGGTGACACCCCATTTACAATGCGGAACCGATCCGAGAATGATCCGAGCATATCCGACCATGATCCGACCACACACGAGACCGTCTCGCAACCGTCGCACCGCAGAGGTAGATCATCGAGGTTCGGGGACGGACTTTGTATGGAAAAACATAGGCTTTCGTGCATCTGCTATCTCTCAAAAACGCATTTCGTGCGAGACTTCCTCCAAAACTCCATCGGCAACTCCTCCACCAGCACCACTTGCAATCCCATTTACAGTGAGGGAACGATCCTAGAGTTGCAAATCACAATGGAATTCCATCCGCAACTCATCCACCAGCACCACTTGCAACCCCATTTACAATGCGGGAACGATCCTACAGTTGCAAATCACAATGGAATTCTGTCGACCGCACATGCACGAAAAACAGTTGAAACCCCATTTACAATGCGGAACCGATCCGAGAATGATCCGACCATGATCCGACCACACACGAGACCGTCTCGCAACCGTCGCACCGCAGAGGTAGATCATCGAGGTTCGGGGACGGACTTTGTATGGAAAAACATAGGCTTTCGTGCATCTGCTATCTCTCAAAAACGCATTTCGTGCGAGACTTCCTTCAAAACTCCATCGGCAACTCCTCCACCAGCACCACTTGCAATCCCATTTACATTGCGGGAACAATTTCTTTGACTAACTCGTTCCCTAACGAACTCTTTCTTTGCTCTTTCTTTGACTCACTCTTTCTTTGCTAACTCTTTCTTTGACTACCTCATATATCCTGACTAACTCTTTCTTTGACTAACTCTTTCCCTCACTAACTCTTTCTTTGACTAACTCTTTCCCTCACTAACTCTTTCTTTGACTAACTCTTTCCCTCACTAACTCTTTCTTTGACTAACTCTTTCCCTGACTAACTGTTTCTTTGCTAACTCTTTCTTTGACTAACTCTTTCCCTCACTAACTCTTTCTTTGACTAACTCTTTCCCTCAACTAACTCTTTCTTTGACTAACTCTTTCCCTGACTAACTGTTTCTTTGCTAACTCTTTCTTTGACTAACTCTTTCCCGCACTAACTCTTTCTTTGACTAACTCTTCTTTGACTAACTCTTTCTTTGACGAACTCTTTCCCTGACGAACTCTTTCTTTGCTAACTCTTTCTTTGACTAACACTTTTCCCTGACATTCTAAAAGTCCGTAACACGGAAGTTTCTCCCCCTAAACTTCCTTTGATCATTCAGTCTATTCTGGATTGCCTTGTGGTTGGATCCCCTTCTGCTACCTATGGTTGGTCCCAAAAAGTACCAAACAGCCATTAATATCCATTAACATCCCCCTTGATTGATGGGTAGGAACCCGTGCCCCACCATTCCATAAAAAACTGGTTTATGTAATGGTTGGGTCCAGTAATATTTGTATAGAATGGATCCTTTTTTGGTCTTATATATTATGGAATACCACCATTGTACTACCTAGCAGGCCGGATATGCAAAGAAATGCTTCGCCAGTATGTTATGGAAATGGCAAAGAAATGAACTCTTGAAACCAAGAAAATTTGACTTGTATATTATGGAATTGGTTGTTTTTTTGAGGGGGTCATTTTAAGGTATCTTAAGATATTCTAAGATAAAATTATGGCACAGAAATGTGCCCCGCAGGAGCATAACTGAGCCAATGCCATGCAGAAAATACCGCAGGGGGGGACGTCGTGACATCGACTTAAATCATTTCATGTTTTAATATGTTTTTTTCTGAAATGGATCACACAGGCAGCTAGTGATATGTATGTTGTATGAAATGGAAGGCTACATAATTGATACATCAACACTGATTAAGTTTTAACGTTTCTCCATCCTACCTTATTACTTGTATATTATGGTAGCCGTATTCCAGGACCACATAAGAATGTTAAAAACAGTAAAGCAAACAACATTTATATTATGGAAATGCCGATTTTGGGACTAATGATTCCAAAGAAAAATGCAGCTGTATACAATGGAATTACCATCGTTTTGTATGAAATGGAGGGGTGCAACATGGCACCAAAATTTAAGGGTTTTTTGCCCCGTTTTCCAAGATGGGCCGTGTATGAAATGACGTTGGTTTTTCCATTTCATACGGGGAGTGGGTTCTTCCATTCCATACAGGTACAGTCAAGGGGGATCCATTAACCAATATTGACAAATATCAACCATCATTGACCAATATTAACCAATATCAACCATCATTAACCAATATAAACCATCATTAACCAATATCCACCATCATTGACCAATATACACCATCATTAACCAATATTAACCAATATCAGCCAATATTAACCAATATTGACCAATATCAACCACTATTAATCAATATCCGCCGACCCCAGCCATCTGCAGGGGGAGCGCGCCCCAGAAAAAGTGGCTTTGCGGCGTCATGAAAGGGCAGGCATAAATGAATGCCAACATCACGTGCATCAAGCTTTGGCGATTTTCTTCTGGTTTCAGAGAGCAACGTTAGGCAGTAGGCTGGCCTTAAACGTGTCCCGGCGCCCTAGGCTGCCCTTAAACCCTTCCCGTCCGCCGACCCAGCCATCTGGAGGGGGAGCGCGCCCGAGAATAAGTGGCTTTGCGGCGTCATGAAAGGGCAGGCATAAATCAATGCCAACATCACGTGCATCAAGCTTTCCTGGCGATTTTCTTCTGGTTTCAGAAAGCAACGTTAGGCAGTAGGCTGGCCTTAAACGTGTCCCGGCGCCCTAGGCTGCCCTTAAACCCTTCCATTTTTTCTTCTGGTTTCAGAAAGCAACGTTAGGCCCTTAAACGTGTCCCGGCGCCCTAGGCTGCCTTTAAACCCTTCCCGACGCCCTTGGCGGCCCAGCAGCATGTCCTTTGGCCACCTGCCGGGCGCTTTCCGGGAGATTTTTTTTTCTGGTTGCAGAAAGCAACGTTAGGCACTAGGCTGGCCTTAAACGCGTCCCGGCGCCCTAGGCTGCCCTTAAACCCTTCCCCGGCGCCCTTGGCGGCCCAGCAGCATGTCCTTTGGCCACCTGCCGGGCGCTTTCCGGGAGATTTTCTTCTGGTTTCAGAAAGCAACGTTAGGCAGTAGGCTGGCCTTAAACGTGTCCCGGCGCCCTAGGCTGCCCTTAAAGCCTTCCCGGCGCCCTTGGCGGCCCAGCAGCATGTCCTTTGGCCCCCTGCCGGGCGCTTTCCTGGAAATTTTTTCTTCTGGTTTCAGAAAGCAGCGTTAGGCACTAGGCTGGCCTTAAACGTGTCCCGGCGCCCTAGGCTGCCTTTAAACCCTTCCCGACGCCCTTGGCGGCCCAGCAGCATGTCCTTTGGCCACCTGCCGGGCGCTTTCCGGGAGATTTTTTCTTCTGGTTGCAGAAAGCAACGTTAGGCACTAGGCTGGCCTTAAACGCGTCCCGGCGCCCTAGGCTGCCCTTAAACCCTTCCCCGGCGCCCTTGGCGGCCCAGCAGCATGTCCTTTGGCCACCTGCCGGGCGCTTTCCGGGAGATTTTTTCTCCTGGTTTCAGAAAGCAACGTTAGGCACTAGGCTGGCCTTAAACGTGTCCCGGCGCCCTAGGCTGCCCTTAAACCCCCGGCGCCCTTGGCCCCAGCAGCGCCTTTGGCTGCCGGGCGCTTTCCGGGAGATTTTTTCTTCTGGTTTCAGAAAGCAACGTTAGGCACTAGGCTGGCCTTAAACGTGTCCCGGCGCCCTAGGCTGCCCTTAAACCCTTCCCGGCGCCCTTGGCGGCCCAGCAGCATGTCCTTTGGCCACCTGCCGGGCGCTTTCCTGGAGATTTTTTCTTCTGGTTTCAGAAAGCAACGTTAGGCAGTAGGCTGGCCTTAAACGTGTCCCGGCGCCCTTAAACCCTTCCCGGCGCCCTTGGCGGCCCAGCAGCATGTCCTTTGGCCCCCTGCCGGGCGCTTTCCGGGAGATTTTTTCTTCTGGTTTCAGAAAGCAACGTTAGGCACTAGGCTGGCCTTAAACGTGTCCCGGCGCCCTAGGCTGCCCTTAAACCCTTCCCCGGCGCCCTTGGCAGCCCAGCAGCATGTCCTTTGGCCCCCTGCCGGGCGCTTTCCGGGAGATTTTTTTTGTCTGGTTTCAGAAAGCAACGTTAGGCACTAGGCTGGCCTTAAACGTGTCCCGGCGCCCTAGGCTGCCCTTAAACCCTTCCCGGCGCCCTTGGCGGCCCAGCAGCATGTCCTTTGGCCCCCTGCCGGGCGCTTTCCTGGAGATTTTTTCTTCTGGTTTCAGAAAGCAACGTCAGGCAGTAGGCTGGCCTTAAACGTGTCCCTTAATGTGGTTTTGGTTTTGGTTGTGGTTGTTGTTGTTGTTGTTGTTGTTGTTGTGGTTGTCGTGGTTGTCGTGGTTGTGGTGGTTGTTGTGGTTGTTGTGGTTGTTGTTGTTGTTGTTCTTGTTCTTGTTCTTGTTGTTGTTCTTCTTGTTGTTGTTCTTGTTGTTGTTCTTGTTGTTGTTCTTGTTGTTGTTCTTGTTGCTGTTGTTGGTGTTGCTGCTGTTGTTGTTGTTGTTGCTGTTGCTGTTGCTGTTGTTGTTGTTGTTGTTCTTGTTCTTGTTCTTGTTCTTCTTCTTGTTGTTGTTGTTGGTGCTGCTGCTGCTGCTGTTGTTGTTGTTCTCCTCCTCCCTTTCCAACCCTGCGACCTCCGAAGCTGCTCTGCTGATCCCCCGGAACGCACCAGCGCCCAGGGTCTCCGTACCCCCGAAGGCCAAGGCCCCAGAAAGCACGTGCAGATCCGCTTCGGACATCGCTGGGTCAGAATGAAAATACGCACTAAACCTTTGTTCTCGCTATGAGGCCCCTAGACCAGGGGTCGGCGGCAAGGGGGCGTAGCCCCTTAAATTAACCAATATTAGCCATCATTAACCAATGTCAACCATCATTAACCGATATCAACCAATATTAACCAATATTGACAATCATTAGCCAATATTAACCACTATTAACAATCATTCACAATCATGACAATATTAACCATCATGAACCAATATTAACCAATATGAGCCATCATTAACCAATATGAACCATCATTAACCAATATTACCAATCATTAACCAATATTAACCATCATTACCAATATTACCAATCATTAATCAATATTAACAATCATTAACCAATATTAACAATCATTCACCAATATGAACCATCATTGAAAAAACATTAATCAATATCAACCAATATTAACCCATATCAACCAATATTAACCAATGTTGACCAATATCAACCATCACTAAGAAAGATTAACCAATATCAACCAATATTAGCAAATGTCAACCAATCTTAACCATCATCAAACAATATTAACCAATATCAACCATCATTAGCCAATATTAACCGTTGACCATCATTAACCAATACAGGTATGACTTTGTCAGATGCCTGCATTAATCATCAATCATTAAGCAATATCAACCAATATCAACCTATCGCCATCCCCGGCCCGCCCTCTTCCCAGCCTGCTCTTTCCGTCCGGAGACTCTGCCTGCAGCAGAGTGACGCGCTGACGAGCTTCTTTGAGCCGATGTTCCACCTGCCATTGGTCAAGACATGGCCGAAACCACACTTTGACCCACAAACTGTCTGTTCTTCACACGTCGTTAACAAAGAAACACCACATAAACATGACCTACAACAGTGTTTCTCTTGAGCAACAAAAAATTGGATTTCCAGCATCAAACATTTGGGTCTTCGCAACAGAAATAATGAGACATCACCAGGAAAATTGGAGGGACACACAACAATTTCAATATCATTGGGACAAACTTTAAGAGGATTTGACCAATCAGAATGGGAATTGACACGATTTAACCAGCAATCACGGGGATCGAATATAACAATACATATCATATAGCGATATATAGGGAGCAAACATAGGGATCTACACAACAAAAACATGTGGTTATACTATGTTATACTGATACTCTGGTAAAGGGATGGAATTATGTTAAAATAAGCCGGCAATCTGTGAGCTCGTCAGTCGCTTTCTTTGACCCATAACCACTTTAGCAGCCGCTACCTTCTTCAGGCTTGTTGGTGTCTTGATGGGGATTCTAGTCGCACATATCTCTTGAGACTTTTCCCGCCTTCAAAGGGTACAGTACTTTGACGAGTTTTGATATCAAACAAAAAACATTCAACAACCATGATCCTGTGCGTTGCGGCTACTGCTCACTTTGAAATACAGTGATAACCAGGTGATAACAGGCGAACAGTGCCCCACAGTGATTCAACGGCTTTGGGATCAAGCCATTGCCCCACCAAGGCTGACGCCCAAGGCCCTCACGATTTGGAGTTGCTGCAGCTGGTGGTCCACCTTTGACCTCACCGGATATTGTCGCATGAAGCTGGGGATATACATGGGGATGGATCCAAACTCAAAACCTATCATACCGATCATACCGATCATACCGATACCAACCATCATACCGGACTTTCAGGGGACATCCATTGACTAAGATTTTGGTGGTCAACCGGCTGGATTTCGAGTTTCGACACATACCCCGATGCAGCACAGCAGATCACATCGCTTCACTGCCGTGCCGAATCCGAAGCGAATTCTCTTTTGGCCTCGCTCGGCGTCCTCTTCAGTGGCAAGCTTGAATCGCAATGTTCTGTCAAGTGCCAGAAGATTTTTGCGAAGATGCGGCAAACCCCAGCTTCTCCGAGAGCGGGCTGGACACAGGGAATGATTCAAGAACGCGCCGCTGGGTGGTGGTTGATTCACCAAATGCAGAAGCATGTTGGGAACAGGGCTGATCTAACGGAAAGAAAAACACAGCGTGATGTGTTGAAACCACATGAAACCACCAACCAGACTGTGCTCAAGCCTCATGGGTGCCTGTAAACAGCACCGCGCTTTAGGCCAATGTTTGAAGGGGTAACACTCTTCCATGGCCTTGAACACTTAAGATCGGCAAAAAGATGTCGCATTCTAATTACATTGGATTGCTGTACATCTGCACATATTCTGTACATATTTCTACAGCATGTCTTGTCGTTGCCCGGCTTTGTTCCACCTTGCTCCCATCATCCAAAGCCAAGCAAAGCTTCCTTCAGCTTCGCCTCTTGCCTCAAGGACCTTCTTCTTGAGAGCAGATTTCTTCTCCTGGAGTTGCTGCAAAGAGCCACGAATCTGCTTGGTCTTGTACTCATGCACCAGCCGGTTGGGCTGTTTGGGATGGTCCAGATCTGTAGGGCAGGTCCAAGACTCGAAAGAATTCCATGATGGGATGCCTTCCACCGACAACGCGTCGCCCAGAGAACGGCTTGACTCGCACGACTCGCTCGACTCGCCCTCGCTATGGCAGGACTCACCCAGTCGCTCCGGTGCTGCGTCGATGTGGCAAACCTCCACGTGTGGCTTCGCCATGCAATGACATCCTGTGATAAAATCCACCAGTGACATCATGTCACTGACCTCCTCCAGAGGATGCGGTTTCTGTTTAGCCAAAAGAGCTACGGAGAATGAACACGCAATCAGGTTTTCTTCCATCCAACTGGAGGACAATTTGGCATTTGTTCAAATTGATTATTCAATCATCGAATTGGGTCTATCCTTTTGAGCCGTATCCAAACTAGTCGACTCCAAACAAATCTGATCATACCCGCCATCTCAAAGCTTGCCTTGGCGATCACAAATAATAACTAGCTTGGTCCAAAAAACGGACGCAAATAAGTAACATGGTCACCAACTGAAATTCATGGATTGAACCATGCCATCTTTGAACTCTCCGAAATGGGCCGTCGGATTTGCTTGGCTCCCTGCTCATGTAGCCGTCGCTTTTCGTAGAAAGGAGCTGCGCGTTTCACGGAGCAGTTCCAGGTACCTCGAAAAGCATGTTCCGTCGGGTCCCTGAGTTGATGTCACTTCATGTCACTTCATGTCCCCACGGCAAGTTGTATTTGGATGTATTTGAAATTACTTGAAATTATTTGGTATATTTTGGTATTTAGGATTATTTAGGATTATTTAGGCGCATCTTGGGCTGAGGAGCCGACATCCACTGTGTTGCAAGTCTTCGAACTCGAATCTCCTGCGATTCTACAGCGCCGCAATTCTCTTCCAATTCTCTTCCAATGTTTCATTACTTTTCATTACTTTTCATTCTAGATCTTGAGGCCACTCAGACTTGCGAGCTGAGATCAACCGGGCGTTTTGTATTGTTTTTTGTGAGGATCGACCCGTTCCGAACGTCACTTCATCCTACTATATCCTTTCATATCCTTTCATATCCTGCTATGATACCATCCTTCAAATATATCACATGTGATCTTCAAGATTGGGTCCCAATGCGTAGGAGTCCCGTAGCCCGAGCCTTCGGCATTCATCCAATTCATCGCGCTTCATTGAAAGCTCCGAGCAAGCCAGGTCACGATGCCGCCTAAGAACAGCCAATACACTCTTGTAATTCAACATACTGTGGATGGTTGCGAAATCCTGCACCAGTTGATTCAGTTGATAGATGGTTTATCCCATTATTGATAGGGTTTCAACCATCCAAGGTGATGCAGGATTTCTTCCATCCACAGTAGCTCAGTAGCTATAGAAAATGGCTCATTTATAGTTGATTGACCTATAATCAACCTACTAAAATAGTGATATTCCACAGCTAATTTAGTTTACCAGGGGGTACTGTAACTGCCCTGCTACGGTACATTGAATGAACATGAACCTTGGTCCATCTTCGTTGACTGTGTCTGTACACCCGCACCAATATTGATCACTTTCGGTGCCAGGTGATACCGTGAAATTGACACATCAAAAGATCTTGAAAACAGATCCGGCCCCCTTGTTCAAATTGTTTATATTGTTTTATCCGAAAACAATCCACCCCAAAATCCCACAGCTTGCAATAATTTTCCACATTAAAGAATCATTTTGGGGTACAGAAAAACATCGTTTTTTGCACTACCCGTCACTCGCATCCCATTCCGTTTTTTTCAGGTCCCGACTGTAGGGAGGCTACTGCATCTCCCAGCCATGAAACCTGACAATTGGGGTACCAGCAACCAAAAACCAATTGAGGGTGTATGCACTCAGTACATGAGTAGTTTTTTTTTTTAAATGAAGATCAATGGGATGAAAATGATGAAATAGGTATGAACAAAAAAACCAGGTGGGCGATATAACATGATATAACATGATATGACTATATGCAATCATTTTCTTGAACACCTACCATGAAAAATCTTGGAGCTCCCCGATTTCTGGTTTGCCATCCCAAGAATCTTCTTGGCTACCATGATCCAATTGGTAGGGATGCACATGTTCCAAACCTTGGCAGTACAAAAAAAAAATCCACGTTTTTCTACATGTATAGCATCATCTCCATATGTTCATGTGATTGGCAATATTCAATATCTGAAAATTATTTCCCAATATCCTACCATATCCCCATTGCAGGCGACAAAAAAGGCACTGGGTCGCCAACTCGAATCATCCGAAGAAGTTTTGGATCGTCGCACACTGCATCTACCTCTTCCGCCTTCGAGAACGGCGACCCATTGGTACTGACCAGTTGATGGAGCAACCTGTTGAACAACAAAGAGGTAAATACATATCATTGTATAGATGATGTAGATGGTCCAAATGCTCAGGTCTGCAAGCGGTTGCTGAAGTGATTTCAACATAATTTCAACCCTGCTGGTAAAGAAAACCATAGAAAACCACACACACAAATAGGCCGGTTTGTCATTAGGGGCCGTCCCAGGTTTGACGAATGCCAAAAAATCCGCCCACACCGCTTTGGCGGTGAAGGCGTGCTTATTGGGGGGCAACAGCAACACTAAATGCTCAATGACATTTGTTAATATAGCAGTCGCTATATCAGCTTTAGCTGGGGGGGGGGGGCCCCCAAAAACGGTTTCGCACCGAGACCAGACCCCAAAAACGGTTTCGCACCGAGACCAGAATACGGTGGTGTTTTCGACATTTTTCGAGGATTTTTGGGTGTCTGAGCGCAAGAGGGTATTGAAATGGAATTTTGGGTCATTTTGGTAGCTTTCCGGCAATGGAAAAACGGCCAAAAATGAAAAAAACATTGTACATAGCAAGATTTTGCAGGGTTTTTGGATGCCAGAGCATTGAAAACACTGCAAAAACAAGTGTTTTGGACTGACGTTATAGCAAAAAACGTGTAAATTACCGTATGCTTGACTGGAAACATTACAAAAACACTGTCAAAAGCAATGTTTTGGAAGGATTTACTGCCTTTATGGCAAAAAACGTGTAAATTACCGTCTGTTTGACTGGAAACATTGGAAAAACACTGTCAAAAACAATGTTTTGGAAGGATTTCTTATTTGAAGAGCCCCCACGGGGGAAAACCACCCTTAGCCCCTCTCACGGACCGAAATAAACCTGCGGTGTGGGCGGCCACCCCACGCGAAGCGGGGTGAATACCCCATGGATTTGTCATGGTTTGCCTCAAAAACGGGATACTCATGGATACTCCCTTAAATATTCTTAAATGACAAACTAAGAAAATACCCATGATGAACCATGGGGGTTTGGATGGCTTTCGGGGTACCCAATTTTCAGATTCTTGAACCACCAGGATTTTCGCCTTGGCAGGAGCAAGATCTTCCCACTGCTGCTTGCTGAGCGGGTCTGAACCCTGGAGGAAGGCTTCGAAAGCCGCCTCAAAGACGTGTCTTTGACAACTCATCTGGTCGTGAGCTGTACTTCTTTCATCTCGTTTAGTCTTCACTTAATCATTTAATTCACATGTGTTGAAAAGACAACATTAAACACAAATCACGAGCCAACACAGCAATGAAGAACACTTGTAATCTGCTTCCACTTTGCGTTCAGGATGATTCCTGAAACGCTGCTCTTATGACTCCTGAAACGCATACTTTGCAGGCTGGCCTCAGCAGTTGCCAAGTTCTTCACAGCAACCTCTCGGCATCTGAGGACCAGGGGGATGAAATGTCCCGTTTGAACATCACCCAGCAGGGAATCCATAGCAACGGCATCTTGAGATGACGCCGTCCCAAAAAAGAGGAGCACATTGCAACTCACAGGCCGCGTGAACTATGATGAACTTGCTGATTGTTGTCTTGCTGTGACCACTTTCTCATCAGTTCTCTTCAAAAACCAGAAGACATCATAAAACATCAATCAGTATGTGCCAAGTTTGAAGGTCCTGGGGATGCAGTATGTCTTCATTTAATAATCATACCGTGCATACCCAAACCCACGGTCCAGCAACCAAAACTACCTCCTGCCTCCAGCTTTTTGTTCACTTCATCCAGCTCCCCCTGCTGATGAGCAAAGTCCTGTCATCTGTTCATGGTGACTGCCAAACTTGGGACCTCAACGCAGACTCACCCGAAACTGGGTTGACATGGAGGGTTTCCTGGTCAAAATCACCAGGGTCAGCACCTGTTTCAGGGTCTTAAAATCTGGACCGTTGTCCATACAACCAGCTGCGGCTATAAGTTTGCCCATGAATTGCTCAGACAAGGAGTGCATCAAGGAATGCTGCTAACAGCCTGGGTGTATCCCAATCGCCTGGACGGCCTGCTGCCAGAGTGCACGGCTATCATAGTAGCCTTGAGCTCGTTCTATGACTGGGCGGCCGATTTCCTGGCGTCAGACACTCAACGGGTCAAGCTTCAAGACCCCAAGCCACAGAGTTTGTTGCATTCTCCATGCGACAAAAAGTACGTCCTGCATCAGGGCGTTGAATTCAGCCACCCAGTCTGTCAAAGTCTTCACGTGGACCTTGCGCTTGCAGGGACCAGAGATGACCCAGGCATCTCCCAATGATGGCTGTCAACCCAGTAAATGGCCAAAGATCTTGAGTAGATTTCCTTCAGAAGAAGATGTCTACGGTTGGCGATTCACTGAACAATGCCTAAAGTATCTTAAAATACCTTAAAGTCATGAGTCATTGCAGTACATGCCATTAACTTACTCATAAAACAAAGCAATTCCGGAAAGGCAGCGTGATCTCCAAGACTCAAAGTCTCTTTCCAACACAGTGCAAAGAAATAAAACAGCATCATCCTTGCCGACCTCATCCACCTCTTGGTATTCTGCTAGGATTGCTGCTGCTTGACGTTCGGCCTGCGATACGCCCGCATCCTCTTGGAGATTGACTGTGCTGGTTGTTGTATGGGAGTTTCTTCACCCAGTTCGGGAGATTTATATAAACCGTTTCAGCCCGAGTTAAACAAGCCTCATTTCTGGGTATCTTCACTACCGTTGCTGCCTGAAACCGTGATTTTGCTGCTTAGAACTTCGAACTCTCACTGGGTACTTAAAAACTAAGATGTGCTAGCGGATTTTGACAAGAAGCCAAGTATTTCTACTATCTGAACATGGACATGTCCTGTATTTTTTTCCAAACAGAATCTGGGAAACTCACCCCCCGCAACAGGGGCCCACCAGAGCCTCTAAGAGCTCTGCTTCCTTCTCTGGGAGAACCATATTAGACCTGAAATTCAGGGGGCCAAGCCAGTGGGTTTCTGGCAGTTTCTGGACCCACAAATTTGGTCATTGAGTCATTCTATGTCATTCTTGCCATGAAACCATCCTCTGGTGTATTCTGGATGGTCAAGCGATCTACAGTGGGGAGTCAACATGATTGAAATAACGAACATGTGCCGCGAAGATGGTTGGTTTTTGATGGTTTTTGTCTGAAACTGAGCAGTTCATCTGTGGTTCTGGAGGTCTTGCATTTCAACCCATCATATTTCGCAGGTCTGAGTCATCTCAAGTGTCTGGGCAACTGGTTGTAGTGCAAAAGTGAAGTTCTCAACCACATACAGTCTCAGTATCTAGCAGGTTTGTTTTGAGCCACTGAGAAATGATTTATAAATGGGACCACCATTTCGGGTGGGGTTTGAACCGCCAAATCCCAACATGGGTTCATCGGGTTCCGTGCCTTGTCAGGAAGCCACTAGGCAAACCTGGTGGAACAGCATCGCGCTCTTCCCCAGCCTTCACGACACTGAGCGTTGATGTAACACCAACAAAAAAATGGAAAACTCTTCCAGTACGTTTCCCAACTGTGGAAGAACCAACAAATTGAAAACATAGAGTTGCATTTGCATATCTGTATAATAGATTATAATGGTATAATATTATGTATAGTAAACACAATCTTTATTACATCCAAGAATGTCGCAAGAAATTCCCAGTGGGCAAAACAACACAGAAGCTGCCTCCTCATCTTCTGTAGCAAGGCCTCAGCGGCGAATCTCACCAGGAACTTGGCACTTTCGATCTGGTTACGTGACATCCGAGTGCCCTGCTGGTCTCATCTGGTTTCGATGCAGCTTCAACTTCCCGCTTCTGCCAGGCAATTGGCATGTCATGATGCGAAGCTGCTCTTTTTGTGCGAGAGCGGCTTGCAAAGATATTGATGCTTTAACTGAACCAAGAGACAGAAAAACATCTTCAACAAGAAACATCAAACTTTGTGGCTGGTTCCCGGAAATACATAAATAGGCATGTTACGCATTATGAAGCACTATACTTAACCAAAAACCAGCCATTTCTGCCCCCAAAATCTGCCTCCACCAACAACTTGGCACCCTCGGGCGTCAGGATCTGGCGCGGAGATGTGCGGTGAACACTTTCACAAGCAGGAAACGACACTGTTTCCATCTTTCTCTTGATAGAGAATAAATCACCCACATTATTTGGCTTGAATTTAAATATACTTATATATATAATTATATAAATATAATTAAATATATTTAAATGATATGAACATATATGAACTGGGGCTGGGGAAATCATCTGAACACTCAATGTTTATTCTTTTAAAGGAAAGCCGTCTAAAAACAGAGGCACGGAGAACACGAAGGTGGGGAAGCCAACAGGTCGCACCTTGTCCAAGGGATGCTCCTCCAAACACTTCAAGACCTGGCAGAAATTCGAGGCTACCGAATCTAATGGGATCTAGGGGATGCCTTCCCAGGGGGCCCAAGGTATTGGGATTTCCAAATTTTCCAATAGGAGTACAGTATGGTCAGTATGGTACAGTACCTTCCCACTACATCAAATCCACGAAGCTGCGGGCAGCTGCAGGTTGCTTCGGCTCTAGTTTCAGCATGCTTCAGCTTTGTCTTCCTGCATGTGTCCGTAAAATGGATGCAAGTCCCGAGAGATCTCTGGAGCCTCTGGGTCAGCCCAAGGGCCCTTCACAGCTCTCATGCAAGACAAAGGATCCTTGGCACTCACACAAGAAGAACCTCCCAAAATTGATATGTGGTGATTCTATTTGTAGGCCTCCTGAAAATAAGCAAGGGAAAGTACAGTAAGAGAATTTGGTGCAAGCTAAGAAAACATATCACCTGACACGGTCGCTACATATGTACCCCTTTTGAAAGATTTCCAAAGGCAGGAAGGCGAGCAGGAAGTTGAGAAGCCTTCCAATGGACTAAGATGGAATCCATGACTGGTGAGTCTGCGTCATGACGTTTTTGGTCGAATCCAGGCATTCCATCGAACATTCGAACATTCCAAGGGCCAGGCTTTGTTGTCGCACATGCATTTTCCACCATACATTGCAGGCCTCAGCAGGCAAATGCGATGTCGATTTAGTTCGATGTCATGGAAATTCATGGAATCCATTTTTTCGGTTCTACATGTTCTACTTTAAAGGAATTTCCACGCATTTCCACACTCTGATTTCCAGGCATTTAAGGCTTTCCCATTGAAACAATCAACGCTAAGGCCCTGGCAATTGCTCTGCATCCACCAAATCCAGGAGACACCTCACATATGCCTGGCGAGAGCTACGTGGCAAGCCGTGGCTGTTCAGCTCGGTGAAATCTTTCCACGGAAAGCAGCTAAGCACACAGGGACGCTATAAACGAAGAATCTATGTATCTGGCAGTGTCTGGAAAACCTTTTCAGGTCCCCTCGGCATCAATTTTTGGAGCGTCCCTCATTACACTGCATCTTTGGCCCCTCATGGCCCCTCCCTGAAAGCTCTCTTGAGCCGGCAGAACACCACCAGCACCTCCCGTTGGTCGCTGCCAAAGATGGAGATTTTCGCCACGGTCTTTTCGTCCAATTGCGGTTTCACGAAGGACCAGGCGATGCCGAAGACTTTGGGTGCGTTGATGATCACCATCCTGGATACACGGCAGCAGCCACATGCCGAAGATGTTCAAGGCTTTTCCTGGTAAATACGCAGGAAACATCATCCGTTCAACTGCTGCTAATCCTGAAAGCTGTATGATTGCTAGGGTAATACCACAAACAATCACCGCACTTGAATCATGGTCACTGGCCATTTACCAGCATCAACCTCTAAGTAAGAACCCTGGTCACTTATTTCCTTTGATGGGTCCCTACTCTTGTCAATGGGGCAATGGTTTTAACTTGAATATAGTTGAATTATAATCAATTACATAATAGTACATACAGGTTACTCCCCAAGTTTTGGGTAGTTCTAATGCCACTGATATCTACATACGTGCCCATCATTCTAGCGGGATAAAGGACCAGAGACGCAGATTCGACTGGCAAGACTGGTGAGTAACCTTTGTGATCGCTGAAAGGAAATGGGTGATATGCATTGTTACTAGCCCGTGATCACCTGTGGTTGGACACTTTTCAAATCTTTTCAACAAACTGGTTAATGATACTTAGTGATCATCTTTCTCATGGAAACTGGCCATGAATTTGAATTGGAGTGTCCCCACTTTTGGCCAATGAAACGACACCCCGCTGCAGCTCGACTCCTCCCACTGCATTCGGGGTAGTGATTCTGCAACATCGTGACCACATCCTCCGTCATGGGAGGAACTGTTGAGCTGTGGAGACAACCAAATATAACCAAATCAGAAACGTCAGGCGTCAGGGCACAATTTTTCATTGGAATTGGATTTACGGTTTTTTTGACAGTAATTTACCACATCCTTCAGGTGGGTGATCTCCAGCTCCCATCACAGCGGCCCGGTCCCTCACGACTTTCCGAGCTGTGGTGTGGGTGACCTTGAAACCGACAGGTCGCCATGTGAGATGCTGAAAATGGGAGTTTTGCAGCTAGGCCCCCCGTAAATAGGGTATCAAAGGATCAAAGAACTCACACTTGGTACTTCATGGTAGTTTTTAGGTGTCTTACATAAATAATTATTTTACATAGACATAGACAATTTTTCAAAACTGCAATTGCTACATTTGAGCCATGGCCAATATCCCAAATCTGGGTTCAAGGCAATACGGAAGCTCAGCCCGTCCAAGTCCATGATATTCAGGGACCTGATGAGAGTTGAAGGTCTCTGGTAAAAAATAGTAAAAACATATTGGAGAGCTGGTGGGTGGTTGAGCCACAAAAACGAACTATCAGTAATTTATAGTAAATCAGAGTAAATCAATGTCATTTATAGTGCTTGCAAATCTAGGGTGAGGCTGATCTCAAATATAATGGGTCTGAGTGAATGAAGCGCAGAACCGCGTGACAAAATGCAGACGGGCGTCTTGTCAACGACCTCACCGCGAACTAAAGTGCAAGCCTCAGTCAGTGAACAGTGAAGAGGTTGGTCGGATTTCAAGCTGAGCAGAGTCGCAATGCAAAGCATTCTGCTGGGAATGGTCAAACACTGCTTACCCTCTGGTAAACTAACATAGCTATTGAACATGGCCATAGAAATAGTGGATTTTCCCATTAAAAATGGTGATTTTCCATGTAAACGTTTACCGGAGGGTATCCTGGTGAAGATCCCAAGCAAAGCTGTTGGTACGATAGGACGCCCACAGGTAGTCGTCGCCGGATCTGCAGTTCTGTCTGCGCGTAGACATACCTCTCGAACAGCTGCAGTTGGATTCTGTCAGACTTCATCTGAAATGTTGATTCTGTCAAATAGCTGATTAAGAAATTATCCCCTTAGTAATCCCTTCCTCAATGTTTAACACTGACTAACATTGAAACTGGTTTAGTATCGGGCCCATAATCTTGGCCTAAAATTGGCATATTCAATGGCAAGGGACTGTCCCCTGCGGGGCACTGCAGGACCCGTTCACAGGTCGTGGCCTGATCGACCATGCGAACGTGTTTGGGACAAGGATGGGAACGAGTGAGGATGATCAAAAGCAAAGGATCACATCGTAATTTACAATAACAATAGCAAGAATATCAAGAATAACAAGCATCATCATGATAATAAAAACATATAAGAACTACTATCATGCAATAATAATAAATGATGAAAATAATGAATAATGGAACCACCACCACCACCACCACCATGATGACAGGTGATTCCATCACCTTGAGGAGCCGGGGCATGTCGATCTGCCCGGGCCGTTCAATGTACAAAGGACCTCAGGTGGTTGAGCCACACATCTCCAAAAAATGTCAACTGGAAGGATCCTACCAGGTCGCAAAACTGAAACATATATATGATATATGTGTATATTATATATATATATATATCATTATATATCATTATATATCATTATATATCATTATATATCATTATATATCATAAATATCCGAAACTAGCAAACAGGCCACATTTTGGGGATCAGTGGGGTAAATACTCACTTGCCACTTCGAGTTATGCCAAAAGCAATTAGACAAGTCTTGCAACTGACCCTAAACACGATGATATGATCTGCAAGTCTGGAACTGTTTTCGACCTCTCAAGTGCAAGTGCTTTCTATGTATTCGACTGTGAATTGACTGGCATCGTTGTCGAAACTGAGCATGCGACGCCCAAGTTTGTCGGTCCCGTGGTAGGCCTGGTGCTATATTCCGCTGGTCGATCATCAATGACATCTTACACAAGATCTTACAATCAGCAGACCGTGGTTCAACGTCCATCAACAAAGCCGGCATCTTTGGGGAAATTCATAAACAAACGCAGGATATGTACATGGTTCAGAAATTGTCAAAGTCCAAAATTCAGGGGCCCATAGGGTCCCACAGGCATCGAATTTCGCAATCTTTGAGATATTTTGACCCCGGATGGGTCGAAATTTGGCCCCAAACATGCAAAATGCGATGCACTCATGGCCTAGTTATTTCTTGATTTTCTTGCTTAAACCATGATAAACCATGATAGAAACCATATTACTATATATACATCATCTAAAGTGTCAACCGCGTTTGAAACGTGTTCAACATATGACATCTTTCTGGAAACAATGTGGACGCCTATACCATCCTACCCTGATGACTTGATATACTTTATCAGCGGCTTCCGCCTGTGGATAGAAGCGCTTGATGTGAACCTGGCAGATGAGGAAAGCATCTCATCGCCAAACCGCCGGCGGATCGAAGGTTTGTCAGCTATAGTAGTTGATCCAGCATCTATTGTGGTTAGATCATCTTGGGATCAATGCTGACCATGCAATCAATATGAACCATGAATTTTTAGCCCAGAATCTTATGATCACTTGAAATGTTGCTAGATAAATTATCAATACTGACTAATACTGACCATGCAAAACTCCCAAACTTTTCTCGTGACCTGGGCGACGAGACAGAATCGCAAATATTTCTCGAACTTGGTGACATCAAGAATTGATACCAGTGCAATGAGGAATAAAGAATAATAAAGAGGAGTTCAGCATAGTTCAGGCCTGGAAATGACCTTCTGTTTCCGGGTCGGAACCTTTTACGACCTCCATGAACCAAATCCCTGGAGACCTCCTCAGGGAATGGATCCTTGAGCAACTGAGACATGTTGGTCTCAGCCAGCCACCTGTCGGATGGCTCGGAAATAGCTGATGAGCTGCCATGAGTCAAGCTATTTTTGATCTAAGAAACAAGGGGGGAACATGGTTTAAGGATGTTTAAGGATGTTTGAGGTCTAACCAACAAAACCCAGCAGCAACTTCAACTTGCAGCATGATTTGTCTGCAGTTTGGAGGCTGAAGACATCATGATATGGCCATCAGCTGCGACATCTGAAATCTGTGGAGCACCTGTAGTGGCCTTCCAGCATCGCAACCGCTTTCTCCACATCCCACCTGATGTGTCACTTGAACAAACATGAACGACCATTTTTCGTGGGGATTGTGGGGGGGTACTTCCAGACCTACATCTGTTATCATCTGTTGCAGGTCCAGCAAAAGACCAAGTTCCAAGCTGCCGTGCAATGAGGAAGCGGACCAGCATGTGGTCTGAGCGTAGGTATGAAAGCCTGTCCTGACAAGGGCACATGGGAGCCGGTACAAAAGTCATCTCTTGGACTGCTTTTCTCAGGTTCCGCAGCCAATCTAATAGGCGTGCACAAAAATTGTGTTCCTGTGGGACCTTTCTCTTTTCCTTTGCACGAAATTGAAAAGTGTTTCCTGAAACAGAAATCATTGTCCGGAAACGCGTACCATCCAACTTTTAGGAAGCACCTAAAGAATCCCAAAGACAGAAACATAAACCCAAACCAGCACCAGAGAGTTGGACGAAGTTCCCTTACCAAAAAAGGACCACTTTGGGGGCACCTGTGGAGGACACCAACAATTTGGTCAATTTGGGTATGGATCAATCATGATTCCATGATCAATCAAATTCAAGGCCAATTTTTCCTGCAGCTCTGTCGGCTGCGATGCCTCTTCTGAGCCGGGTTTCGGCCCTTGCGGGCCATTGACCCGCAACCTGACCGCTTCCAGTCGAGCTTTGCCATCCTTGGGTCGAACTGCACCCAGGAATGGGGGCTGCGGCTTGGTTGATATTCCGTGTAGAGTGAGCATGTTGACCTGTACCATCCTGTACCATCCCATACCTATCTTGGACGGGATGCTTCTGCTTCTGACCGTCTGGATCGAAAGAAAAGCAAGAAACAGGATCCCAGAAAGCAGCTACTGGCATGTTCTGACACGCGGGTGAGCCAGTACCAAGCCCTCAGCACTTTTTGCCCCGTCACTTTGATTCCACTCCTGCACTATATCAAAACCTGGAATGAATCCCGACCAGCTTGAGCTTGAGGCCACCCCTTTGGGGATGGTCTTGAGGTTGTTGCCTTGGGCGATGCAAGTCTTTGATTGACCCTGGATGAGTTGGGGCCGCCCGCAGGCAACGAGAAACCTTGGATTGACCACGATTTCTACATGATTTCCAGATGATTTTCCGACCAAAAAAGTACGGAGTTTCCATTCCGGCCACCCCTTGCCAACCATGCCCCAGCCCGCTCTCTTGAAGCAAATGCCGTGCCGGCTGGGTCTGCGTGCCCCACATCGACTGACATCGGTGCCCAGGCAACAAGAAATGGATGTCTTTGAAACAAATTTCTTGCAACTGACGGTCTAAGTTGCGTTCGGATTCATCAAAGAAAACAAAGAAACTACGAAACAAACTCGATCTGAAGTGGATGTTTGGCTAAACTCGGTCCAATCAACCAAACTAGCGGTAGGTGAACAGTAGAAAACGGTAGCAAAGGCTGCTTGACCAAGGCATGGAGTAAAAAGCTGGCTGGTTGCCACGCAATCAAGATCATGTACATCAATTGAGCCAGGCTGTGTGTCAATTTTATCAGATTCGGAATGAGTCTCTGCTTTTGATGGAACCATAGCGCAACAAAGATTCTTTGATTTGGAATCATGTGTCATCGCCCCCTCTTGTGCAGATATGCCAAGAACTCGTGGTGAAAATACTGCAAAGGGCATGTTGCTTTTTTAAACTGTAAACTACATCTTGTCACGGCCGGAAGCCAACAAAATGGGTTCCAGCTCGAACTAACCAACAGTTGTCCATTCTAACATATTTGGTTTGTTCGCATCCAGCGTCAGCCTTTCCAGAAGGTTCGCTCTGGTACACAAGCTTGGCAGTGGAAAACTTCCCCTGTCCATCCCTCTTTCATTGCCATACACGCATGGCTCAACAGTTATGTTCATCCCCCAATTCTGATGGTTTTGAGTTTTGATGGTCCCAGGGATATTATATAAGTAAGTCTGTATCAGCCAATACCAACTAATTCCAATCGTAAAGGGACAGTATGGTGACCACTCCCAAGATCTCCCAGCCTATCTCAGCCTGTCCCAGCTAATGAGGTCAGCGCAATGCCGTAAACCCTCAGTTGGGGGATGGTATTTACACCACCTACTTCCTGTGAAAGTGAGTCAAAAATCCCAATAGATATCCCAATAATGATCCCTGCGACCATCCCATGATTCCCCGTTCATTCTTGGGTTTACCACAATGTATGTTTTCTTTTATCAACGTCAACTCGTCATGGCTGCCATCGCACAGATGGCTCGCATCGCGGCGGAAGAGTCGTGTTCTGCGCCGTGTCTCAACGCTGGAGAGCTCGTCTCACCTGAGGAGACCCAACAAGTTTTTTTTTTGTGTTCTTTTCATGTTTTCTCCCACCAAATATCAAGGAATGGTACAGCTTCCCTTAAACATCTTAAACCAATGCAATGCAAGTGCAATTGCGTGAGACCCTATTCATGTTCAAGTCATAGTAGCCACTGCTCCAAAGCTGGTCGGACCTTCTTTTTGGAATCGTTGTCGGGAACCTTCACGACCTGAGGGCTTCAACCGACTACTGCTGGGAGCCTTCATTTTCAATGACTCGCTATGGTTGCCAAATCTATGTGTATATATATATATATACATACATACATATATATATATATATGAACATACATATGTAATTATAGTATGAATTAATATATTTATATACTATATTTATATTTATATATTATATTTAGATTTATATAATGTGTACATACATGGTGACACCGTGAATGACAGGCTATAACGGCTACAACTATTACACCGAGCAGACCAAACATTCGTAATTTCATTGACTATCATGGACTTCTCCATGTTTGAGAGTCATCCCCACCACGATTCCCAGACTTTCCTCCTGAGCCGGCAGCCAAGGTGTGTTGATACCACGCCTGACACAGGTCCAGATTCAAAATCTGGATGAAATGAAAGGCAAACTACAGTTTCAAAGTATGACTACCCATGGGCTTTAACTTTTCATCAACATAAAATCAGGACAGTTCCAAGACAGTTCCAGGACAGTTCTGCGAAGCGCGCCTTTGGATCCGGCTTGAACTTGCTGCTGTGTGGGCTTACCGCAGGCTCCCCATAGTACCTCTCCATGCCGGGACTACAAATGGAGGTTCCCCAAGTCATGGGGGTATACCTCAAATCATCCATTTTTATACAATTTTCCGTTAGAAACCATCCATTGTGGGGTACCCCGACGACTCAGGAAACCTCCAAATGTCAGCACTTCAGAACAGGGTGAAATGAACCCAGTCCCAAACGGGAGGCCCGGATCAGTGACAGGTAGCCGAAGGTGATGTGCTGGTGATTTCCATGATGGATAATGATCCGTCGGAAACCCATGGTGAAGGAGCTGGTGAAAAATCCGTCAACCAATCCATTGTTATTTTGATATTTTGAAAAAACATACAACCAGTACAACCAGTGATAGACCATTAAAACTTGGCTAGATATGGCTAGATCATGTTCAAATACCCAAGCTTTATGGTTTTCGTGAGATCCATAGAACTTAGAAGAGAAACCGACTTCCCCGCCACTGCCCAGGGCACCGCTTAAAGAACTGATCCTGAGTCCGACCCGTTTTTGTTGATGAATATATGATGTGGTAAACCATGGTAAAGCCAATACATTTAATAAATGGATATGATATAAGTGGGAGGTTAAAAAGAACAATCCCCAAATGGATTGAAGTGGTTGTTTGATGTTGTTTGTTGGGTTGACCACGACCACATCAAAAATAATCCAATTGAATAGATAGTGTTTGGGTCTTCCATCTCCCCCCAAAATCCAAAATGGTGGTCGTCTTAGAACGTTTTAGATCCGTAGATATATCGAATCTGGCTGAATTACACGATGTCAACACCTGAACATGATTTTGTTCTGGTTCTCCCTATCCATTATTCACGTTGAAGTCTTACCTACTACATCTTGCCACATAACACACAAGATAACAACATAATGAATTAGTACGCTCATGTTGCATGTAGCTAATTATATACTGTAACTTTTTATGATATGAACATATGATAAAATAATATAAAATACGTCAGACATCTCTGCGCACTCTGAGGTCATCACCATTTCCATAACCGACTTGTGTGGGCTTGCTGCTGGTGCTTCAGCGCCCATCTGCAGTGTCACCGGGCGGTTGAAGTCCGGGCTGCTCTTCAAGGCCACCGTGGTCGTGGCAGTACCACTGGACGTCGCCATGTGTCACCTGGACGGCTGCAGGAGGGGCTGTGGGTATCCCATAGGTGGAAACAGCGGCAATTCTTTGGTGGGCGCAATTGAATGGAGATGGATGGAAAAGAGATTCTAAATCACGGGATGGATGCTGGGACATATCCAAATCACCTGTGAAGTTGAAAACCTTACCGTCCCCTGAAAACATTCTGAAAACTGGATATTTACCGACGCCTGAAATATCACCGAGAAGATTTGCGCATCAATTCATTGGGCACTCACGATAAGCACCAGAAACAAATAGCTTTAGACATAAAACAACCAGAGAAAGACAGCAGGTCATGGGATGTTTTCTGATGGATTGTATATGACCAAACCACCCCTTTGATCGAATATGATTGAATTCATTTTGGCCCAAACGCCTAAAATGAAACCCAATGAATTGATCTAAGCGTTGACCCCTTGGGGTCAAGCAACTGGAGCACCTGGGCAGCTTTTGCCCAAGCGACTACCAGTTGGCTGCTTGCTGAAGCCCATGCGGCGACGAAGTTTTGCCCTTTGCGGCTGGTACCAAATGACGCACAGTCTAATCTGTTGGGCAATTCGCATCTGTTTATTTGGCAGTAACTTATTTTGAGTTTCAACCTCCGTGTGACACAACCTGGGTCCCTGGGCCACTGACGCTGTGCCTTTTCGCAGCAGCACGCTCCACAAGTCTTCAATGGCACACAGGATTGCTTTGCACAGGATTTCAAGAGAGCCGAAGGTCCGAAGGTGAATTACAGTACTCACCGCCGAGGAATTGGCGCCATCGAACCCTGCATGGGTTCGATGTAAGACGGTGAGTGCCCTGTACGGCTGATTGGACTTCGGCCATTGAGACTACTGAGTAAACTCAGAAAAGAACAGCCCGTTCCAGTGTGGCAGGAAGAAAGGCTCACCAAACCACCAAAACCCAGCCGCATAGGCTGGGGCAAAATGTAAATGCTGTTTTTTTTTCAGTGTTCCACTGTGTACAGTGTGAAGTTGGATACTGTGAACAAGAATTTTTCCGGAGCCCTTTCAAATGCTTTTATGTGCCAGCAGCTGCCTTTGGAACCTGTCCTGGCTGAAAGATGAATGATTTTTACATCAATCATCAGCAATCATCAGATCCTCACAGTCACAGTGCATGACTCAGCGCAGATTTCCGGCCAAGGTGACGCCACACGGCAGACTTGTCCTGGGTGGGATCCATTGCAGATTGGGAGTGCTTGGTTACTGCAGTGATTTCCGAAGGTACTGTAATCAAAACTATACCAAACTGTTCATCGGCAATAGACAGCATGGACATGAATGGACTAAATACATCTAAATACTATGCAATGTTGATCTACCATGCTTTTTGAGCGTAATTGTGACTCCCGCTCGGATATGTTCAGAATGTTTTTCCAAGCTGTTGCACTTGGCACCCTGGCAATATCTACCGCTGCCTTGGGAGAGGATTCAACCTGGGCTGCCAGGGCTGCCACAGAAATTCAGAAACGAAAGCTAGAGGTTGCTGTTGTCCCGGCATCAACCATAGTTGCCATAGTTATACCCCACTATAGGAGAAGCCATTTGGGGGACTTACCAACCAAGATTTTGTTTTAGCACAAAGTGGGATGATCCTCCAAGTTCTGTGACCTGTAGAACCCCCACTTATTCAAATCTCCCTTGCCACCCTTTTTACGGATGTCTTTGTCATTGCATATCATATCATATAACTAGACGCATAATATATATATAACTATATATAATATAATATAATATAATATAATAAAATATAATATATTATAATATAATATAATATATTATAATATAATATAATATAATATATAATATAATATATAATATATAATATATAATATAATATAATATAATATATAATATAATATATAATATAATATAATATAATATAATATATAACATAATATATAATATAAAAAATATAATATAATATATAATATAATATAATATAACATAACATAATATAATATAATCGAATATAATATAATATAATATAATATAATATGTATGTATGAAATAAGACACACGTGCATGCATCACAAGTGGTTATACACGTAGTTACAGTATATGTACCTACTGTAACACCGATAGTTTGATGAATCCAATTCATGTTGCAAATCTACATACATTTTTAGCTGAGCCACTACCTCGTCCTGCCGGTTCTTCTTATCACGTGCCGCCCTCTCTGCCTGCAAGGCCATTTTAGGGTGAGCTGTGGTTTCATGATTTTTCATGGATTTTCCCATCTTTTTACCGTGTTTCGATACTCTTCAGTGCACATAAAATCTCCATCTCCCTCTTCCTCCATCATCTTCCATACCAAGAAACTGAGGATCTTTACCAAAAAAATGGACAAAAAATGCGGATCTCAACCTTTGGCTCTTAACCCCTCCCAGGCCCCAACGCCCAGGGCCGCCTCACGCTGCTCCTGCGCCATGCGGCGAAGCTTGGCGCGCTGTGGAACGGCAGGTGCCACCTCCTGGCCCTTGCCTCCACGGCCTGCAACAGCTGTCTAGGGGGAACCCCCTGGTGATTTTTAGTGTTTGTGGGGTAAGTGATATATTCTCCAACTTTTTTTTGGGATGGTTAGTTATTCTCCAAGTGTTTTTTTGAAGGGGGGAAGATGTCTTCGGAATTAACATGGAGTTAAGGTGATTTACCACGAGGGAAACCAACATAGCGGTGGAAATTCATGGGTTTCCCCACTCGGAAATGATCTACATTCATGGTGGATGTTCCATATCTACGTTAGTTTAGTGGAGTGTATATAAAGTAGGGGATTTGTAACCATCAAACCATCAAAAACAGTGGTAACTCGGGATTAATACGTGTTTTTTAATCGAAACGGCTATGGAAATACAGTAAGCGCTTCCTGTTCGGAAATGATCTGCATTTATAGGTATTCATAGTGGATTTTCCATATCTACAAGCACGTGGGTTTATTGGAGTGTCAAGGATACAGAAGTGGGGATGTGCCCATCAAAAACAGAGGGTTCATAACCATCAAACCATCAAAAACCCCTCTAACCAACACACCTTGGGATTTTTGAGCATCAAACAACCGGTTTTCAGAAACCGACATGGAGATATGATCCGGATATCATGGAGGATAAAGGATGAATACATCATGATGGGATTCGACCAACAAGAAATTCATATTAAAGCAACCATAATTGGGACTATTCTGGGGTATACTATCAGAACTGGGGATATTTGATGCTACTCAAACATCAAAAATGAGGAATTCATGGGGAAACAATGGGGGTCACATTGGGTCATATGGGGGTCATCAACCCAGATAAACCCACATACAGTATTCACATACAGTAAAAGCCATTGATTTTGTGTGCAAATAGGTAAAAACTGGTTAGTTCTTTGAAAAAAAAAGTAGATGATCATGTGGCCACAACCACCAGTGATAATTAAACAGATTACCAAAAAAGACCATCACTACGTAGAGCTAGCTACCAATTCTTGTAGACATGGGTTTGCGAACCTTGCTGCACAATGGGGCAGCCTATTGACCCAGGATGGCCCTGCCTCGGCCCTTTGGAATCTCATCACCCTGTCGTCGACACAACATTTACAAAGAGACTGGCTGCGGAGTAAGACAACTGCAGATGCAGTGAGGGAACCCATCAATTCTCAGCCTTTTCTATCACATAAATCCTTACATGTCTAATATGCAAAGTTTCGTCGTGGTACAGCCTGCCTTGGAATTTGAAGACGCCGATGAGATCACCTGCGATTTGAACCAAACCAGAGATAGAGCCTGTGGCAGTCCCATGAAAAGTGTTTCAATACATAAGCGAAGGTGAAATCCCACGCTGCCATCTCTTTTCACGGCGGATGTTGAAGTGTGCCAGAAACCATGGAATCTCATGCATTTTAGCAGCCAAAATAATTCAACTGCCAGCCAACATACTTAAATTATGGGGACTCAACCACCCCGATTACGGTGACCGGTGACCCCTCACATAATAGCTGCTCTAGGTTCGCCCTTATAAACCCTATTAAACCCATACATTCTTGGAAAGGTTCTTTTGCCTTACCCTCTGGTCATTTATGTCATTTGACAGGTCGGGATGGAAAAATCACCCATGTGAAAAAAGAGGATGTTCCTACTCAAAACGGCGAGGTTCCTGTGGCTATGAGTCGAAACCTTGGGACTCTAGGTCCCCGAAGATAGCTGGTTAACGGATGTTTATGATTGTTTATTCCCCTATTCCCCTAAGTATGCTGGTAATATGTGGTAACAATCTATAGGTGTTGACCCATCCCCCATGTATTTTCCATATTTTTCCATATGTTTTAGAAAACCAGCTATCTTAGGGTACCTAGGTGGTACCTCTGGGCTCAAACTCGTCCACTGCACCTCGGTGGAGTCTGAATACTTCCTCTGACGCAGTGGGGGCCTAGCATCGGGCCGTGAGGTTTCAGGCGGGAACGTCCCATCCGAGGTAATAAACCCAGCATGTGGGGATAGAATATGATAGAATGGGAATATCATGGATATGACATGATTTATGAAATGATTCATGAATGAAGATCTTCATTTATGATTTATGGACCATAAATGGATCATTGTCCTCTCGAACATTAAACATTGGGATTGTCATGATTGTCCATTGCCAGTCGCTGCCGGCCTCTGGGTCTTTGGCATTTGGCGTTCTTGGCGGTTCGAGTTGCGGCGCTCCTGGACATATCCCATCGCCATCCGCTGGGTTTGCACATTGACGAAAACAGGTAATCAAAGATTGCAATGGGAAATACCATACCGTATGAGTGGTTTTGATGGGAAAGTTTTCTATAAATGGTTGAGTTTCCACTATCACCAATTTTATTGCTAAGTTGATGGGGAAAATGAGGTTTGAAACACCATGGGTTTTTTCTTGGATTGAACCATAACAGATGGATTCACAGTCTGTCATGGTTTGGTATATGACAAAGTTGTGGAGAAAAAACACGTCCCATGGATTCAAACCACATGTTCACCATTAAAATAGCCATTGATAGCCATTGAAATTTGCGGTGTAAATCCGAAATTGTTGGACGAACACACATTATTTTTGAACCCCGAGATCCAATACCAAACCATGGTTGTGGGGGCTCTGGTGATGTTTTCCGCAGCTCAGGGTCCTGAGCCCACTTGTTGGGTTTGTTGGGCTCTGCTCCACGCCATTGGGAACGCCAAGCTTCATCTGACCATTCCTTCTCCACCCAGTCATCCCAATGTTCCTCCCAGTCGTTCCATTCGTTCGGGCGCCGGTGCCCGTTGTGCTGGCTGTTGTGCTGGGTGTTATGCTGGGTGTTGTGCTGGCCGTGCTGGCCATGCTGGCCGTACTGGGCACCTGACATCCCACGATTGTTGGAGCCTTTCCAGGTGGTGTTGTTGTTGGTATTCCAGTTTTGGCCCTTACCGTTGTTCATCCTGCCCTTGCCCTTGCCCCAACCCTTGCCTTTGGGGTCGCCCTTCATGTACTCTCCCTCGTCATAGCGGTGAGTCTCATGCTGCGCCCACTTGCGGTCATTCCAGGTTTGAACTTCAGGTTTCCAGGGTTCTTTCCAAGCTTCCTCCTCCCAGCTCTTGTCCACCTGATTCATCAGCGTGGGCATGAACTCTTCAGCTGAGGCATTCATGTTGGAGGCCATTTCCGCCATGGCACGTGTGGATTCACTGGGAATGAAGGGCAGGGCGCTGCAGGACAACGCTGGCTTCTCGGGCTCCATCTGGCCACCCGGGGTGAAGATAGGGGCATCGGCCGACAGGCGGCTGATAGGGGGCGGAGGTGGTGGGGTGGGAGTTGGCCAGTGGGGCTGCTGACTTGCAGGCGGCCTCAAAAGCGAAAGCGATGAAACTGAATTTGGGATCAGTGCTCACCAAATTGCAACCCATACACATGTGCCACACCAATCTTTTACACACGACAGTTCTGAATATTCTGCATGTAACAAACCTTCTGTCCAAAACATCTCCAATCTGTTTGTCCAAGCAGGTTCTTGGAATGGGTAAACTATGATCAACATTGATCAACCATGTTTATCGTTTTTCCGTAGTGATGTTCTTGTTGATATGTAATGGGAACATCATCGATGTGGATTTTCCACCCAGCCAGGTTTGATTGCCAGCCCCATTCAATCTACTGGTTTTAAACCTCATATTCCCTACAAACCAGCCAAAAAAATAAAGTGGGGGTGAATTCATGTTAAATCCCACATTTCCAAGCAATCCCTCATGTTTGATCCAGGTTTTCTAAGTCGCAAACGGTGGTGGTACAGCACTTGGCGGCGGCGGAGGCGCCATGCTGGGTGGTTCCGGCAGCAGCGCCTTTTTGGACTCCTGGAAAATGGCATATGGGAAACTTATTGATGATCTAAAAATAAGAGTTCCCCTATGCAGATTTATTGGGATTGTAGATCTTTTATGGGAATTTATGGGGATTTACTGGGGTTTATACACAAAACTCAATTCCTAATGGGTATACATGGAGATTTGAATTGATTCTACGGTAAGGTATGGGTTGGATTTCCCGGGTTAAAGATCTGCGATCTTTCCAAGAAACCATTGGTTTGGGAGGATCAAAGAAAGACATAGTGTTTGTCATTGCACAAGACATTGGTAAGCCTGGTATGATTAAGCTACGCTTGTCTTGTTCCAAGGTTGATACTGCACAGTCACTCAAGAGCTGTTGTATCTGTTGTAGACATGTCACCAAAGAGGCAAAAGAACACATACATCCACAAAGTCAGAAAGACTTGTCGTTCCCAAACTTTTTAAACTAAAAGCACCTATATGATGTGGGTAAAACAATGTCATAAACCATCCCCCAAATCACCAGAAATAGGATATGAAATAGGTGGTATGGTTACCATTCCCATGGGTGGCAATCACCCCGGCTGCCTCGGCGACCGCAGCCCACTCGTCCAAAGCCAAATCGATGGCAGATTGACGGCCCAAGCCGAGCAATGCCATGGCACGCTGTTCCCTGTACAGAGCGTACAGAGCAGTCCCAATGTCACTGCCAATGTCACTGCCAATGTCACTGCCAATGTCACCAAACTTAGAAGACTTAGAACCCCTCCATTGGACAATTGTACTGTCGTTTCGTTGGCGATTGAGTAGTTGAATGACGAAATTTGGGTACCCCAAAGAATTGGATGGTTCACGACAAGATCACCAGAAATTGGGATTCAATGATATTCAATGTGCTTGACAAGGCCTCAAAATTTGAACTCGTACCCCAAATTCATCTGTTGGATCTCAACTGAGAACCATGGCATCATGGCTATTGGAAGTGCCTCTGCAAGCCGCAGTTGCCGTACTGGCCTCCGACCGCCTCCTGCCGTGATGAGCCCATATGGCAAAGTGCCACAAGTGTAACCCCAAATATATGAGATTGTAAGAGGTCTGGATAGTTGCCCAAATATGCGGTTCCACAGTTTATATGAGTTTAATGCGGGCAGGTTTATACCAGTCCTCGATGGAGGCACCCGCAAGGGTCTTCGCCTGGCTGGGAAAATCAAGGCAAGTGGATGGTTCACTCCTTAATATGGCCACTATGAAGTCCAACATTGAAGATTTACAGTAACCAGTATGTCAATTATTACAACTATTAATACACATATTGGTCAGAATGGATAATCATTATCCTGGTATCGGCCTGGGATTAGGATGGATTAGGACTGTTTCAAAAGGCTAAACTTGGTACTGCAAAGACACCCGATCCAGGATGGGACAGAATTGACTTACATGAGGTGGTCCACTCCAGTGTGGATGCACAACAATTGTGTCAAACTCCTCCAACTACCCCAAACAAACAGAGAACAAATCCGATCATTTCAACATGTTCCAGAAGTATAAGCCTCATCAATTTTCAAAGTATAATAACAGTATCAGTATAAGCTTCAATTTTCCCAGAAATCATCCACCCATTGCTACCCCCCTTTCAAAAACGGCACCTGCCATGCCCCATTGGAGCACTCTTCCGCCGCGCGTTGCAGCCGCAGGGCAGCATCAGCACCTCAGTGCCGTCGAGGATTAGGGGATATTAGGGGGAAGAGACCTACCAATCTTTTATCTTGAGAAAATTCGTCAAAATCCTTGGTGATGTCTTTGGACAATTTGGAGAAGTTGAATCTCTTCTTGAGAAACGGCGAGTATCAATCTTGGGATTTTGCAGTGCAAAAAAAAATGATGCAGGGTTTCGTCAAGGATGAAGGGGATGTCTGTCCAGTGATAAAATCCATTCGATGGTAGATCCAACAGAAGGATACAAAAGGAAACAAACCGTGGAGGTGCATCCCGGTTTTTGGAGACGCCCAGATCTGGGCAATGGATTACTCTTCACGATCACGTTCCAAAGCTTGTTCACTCAACAGCTTTGGCCAAGCTGTAGCCGAAAGTGGGCATCAACTCACTTGGGTGCAACCGTCTTCCCATATGCTGAGTCACTCTCGCAAATTGCCAGGCTGTCGAAAAGGGCCACCAAGCCATGCTTGCCCTTAGCGAAAAAACACGGGCTGCCCCACCTGCTTGGGCATTATGTAATTACACAAACATTTTTCATTATAGCTGTTTAACATATATCTATCTGATACAACGTTGAAACATGGCTCATAGGTAACTCTAATCCAAGTATGCAATCATGGTTATATAATTGTATATATATATATTATTACATAACTTGTGATTCATATCATATGATAGACCATTCACAAATGGTACCAGCATGTACCAGCACCAATAAAATTGTATCCTTCCCTGAGCCTCTGACGGGTTGCAGCCACCAAGGAGAGCGTTCAGCTGCGCCTCCCTTCTTTCCATTGCGGAACAGCTTCACCTGGCGCGATGGCAAAATCAGTGGTTCCCCCACGCTGACTACGCTTAATTGTTGCATAAGATGCTTGAGGCATTGACAAGCCTCGGAAGTCTCTAGTACTTCGCACATGGAAAACCGTCATTATTGCAACTCGCACTTGTTTTAATGTTGTCATACTTTGACAATACAGCTCTCGTGAACACACTCTCCCAAAGATACCCCAAAAAAAAGCGGGGTGAAAACAATTGGTCCACTTCTTCAGTGGTTTGATTTGTTGGGAACATCTACAGGTAACATCATGATTTGTTGGGAACATCTACAGGTAACATCAAGTTTTGTCCTATATGATTCAACGTATTGAACCAATTCTGGGACTTCGACATTAAGTCATGATACATACATCATACATGCTATATTTGTATATATCAAAAAGATCTGCATATATATATAATACATATAACTATATTTAATTATATATATAATCCTGCTGAATCCTGCCTTAAGACATGGTTATCTGGGACTCCAACCACATGTTCGCGCGAAGCCAAATCTGGGCATACGCTTGACTCCAGGCTCACGGCCTGAGATGTGTTGTTGCTCAGCATCTCCCAAGAAATGGCATCCATCCCTAGGAAAAAATCCTAAAACGTGTCAAAACATGTGTATTGTTTATATGTATATACAATTATATATTATATTATACATATATATATATATGAATTATATACATCTGAAGTCAATTTTAGATGCAGTTATATACTCGATTCATCTGCGATGAAACGGGTGAATCACTCCGGGTCATACTCGCATTAGGGGGTCCATGAAACAGTTCGATGTTGTGGATATGAACCCGGTTTGACCTTGGTTCTCTGACAGAGCAGTGTGTCACAGTGTTTTGCCAACGAAAAATCCTGGGGACAAAAAGATGGAACCATATTCAATGTATAACACATAATAACACACATGTGTAGATATATATGGTGTGTATATATATATATATATGTATATATATATATATGTATATATATATATGTATATTACATATATATATATGTATATATTATATATATTATATATCATATATGTATATATATATATATACGTATATACACACCATATACAGTAATATAAACAAACAAACTACTTCAGAGTCATGTTTTCCGTTGGGAAACCCACCATTTTCTGCCTGCTTTGAAACAACATAACAGGCACTGTTGCAGCTTAGATGCTGAGAGGTGTGTGCCTTGACTGCGGCCTCGGCTTGCTTGGGTCGATTCCAGAATACCTACAGCGTAGGATGTTAAGATACTTATAGAAATCGACACCATGTTCATGACCCAGGATCTGAATAAAAATTGGAGTTTCACATACCAACATGACATATTCCAACATGTCCCAACATTTCCCAATGTATCCCAAATATCCCAAAATATCCCAACATATCCCAAATATCCCAAAATATCCCAAATATCCCAGGTCATATTCCCTTTAATCTTCTTGAAAAATCTTGAAAATATATATTCCCAACATATCTCAGGTCATTTTGGCGGAGCTTGAGGCCTGGACCCAAAGCTCCAACCGCCACCTGGCATCCAGGCCACTTTGGGAGATTGCCATCTAAAATGGGCTAAATAAGGCTAAACATTGCTACGTGTATATCTATATATATATGTACATAATTCTATTATATATATATATATATTTTTTAGCATGAATTGTCATGTCAATGATATATCTTGACCTCTTTTGGAAGGATACATGATTCAAGCAATCTTGATCTCTTGATGTTGCTCTGGGCTGCCACTACCGCACCTTGCGCAAGACGCCACTGCGTTGCACCCGCGCACGGAAGATCTTGCCCCATGGGAAGCCTCAGCATCCAGTGGCTGGTGATTGAGCCCCCAAGAAAAAGGTGAAAGTCAATCGTGCTTCATCCCAAAGATTCGGGTGAACTATCTGGGAATCATCATCTATCCAAGCAGTTGCCCTTTTCAACCAAATATTCAAGTATTAATATGATTAATCGATTTATATATATATATATATCAATTGCAAGAGGTTGAACATGCAAAAAAAAGTTGAAACCACCAATCAGGAGGCTGGTTGAGGTCCTTGCGGCCGATACCAGCTTCCACCAGCATCCCACCATCGTCCAAACCTGGCAGAAAAACCAGGAAAAAACATGGAAAAACCATGGAACACCTATTGATTCCCATGTCTTTTGAAACTTGTGGCCACAGATTAGGGGGTAAATATGGGTAAATCTTAGTAAATTCCCGCAGTTTTGGAGCCACTGTGCCACGCGCGCAAAAAGGTGGCCTTGAATACTTCCTCCTGCGTATGTTGCCAGCCAGAATGTGGCCGAATGCCTCAGAGTTCCAGGCCCAGGCCATTTGATGGAGCATTGGTAGATTCCTTATTGGGATGATTGATAAGAAAATCTACACATCAAAAAGTTGCTCTTTGTCGGGGCTTTCCTTGCAAATTTCTTTGACCAATCCAATGACTTTGGTGCCCATTGGTTTTTTCCTGGACCAGTCTCAGATCCCTTCATTCGAGCTTTTCTTCAACAAATCTGCATCACTCAGCTACAAACTTGCCAGAATTGGTGACGATGCGGCCCTGTCAGGAAAAGGCTGTCATTCTGAACTTTCATGATGTATCCGCACTCCTGAATATCATGTGGCGATGACTTTATTCACAAAACGATACACAATGAAGAAATGCAGTGACTATTCACTATCCGACTATCCTGATTGGATTGCCGGCCAACATGCTACGTTCCCTTCGAAGCTCCTGCAAAGAGCAGCTCATCTCCCACTTAAACCCGCCTCATCTTGCCATGCCACTGTGCGGCAATCAGCATACTCTCCTTGAACTGCCTGGAATCCAACCAGCTGCGAAAGAATGACATGCACATTTAGCGTCGTACATTCTGACTGCATCAATTGATGTTCTTTTTGAAAAACAGGTCACAAAGTGGTACCATTTACAGTATATACATATTCCTATGAACATTGGCTGTTCAGAGCTTCGCAACCCCTGAGTCACTGAGCACCTGCTCACCATGTCCCAGCTTCAGGCACCAGCGAGGTTCGCCTTTGGGAGGAAACAGCTATCCCACAAACATGTGCTGCCATCAGGCTGCCGTCTCAAGGGGTCTGTTTGGTGCCAATTTACAACACACCACTATCAATGTGTATACAACATCATACAACATCTATGTAATATATATATAATTATATATATGTGTCATGATTTCTAAATTATTTTAGATGATTTTAAATGTATGTAACTATAACTAAACATAAGTCTAAACACTATGACACACCTAAGCTTACATCAATTCTGCACCTGGCACTGCCAAACCGTTGCTTCAGCGGCCTGTTGGAGATGGTCCACTCTGGGATGGTTGCACCAGCAGCACGTGAAAGTTTCCGGCGGGGCGTGATGGC